CAGGGTAGCCACAAGAGGAGAGAAATATTTTGAGCAAAGTCTCTATTTCCAATTTTGAGGAGAGAGGCTGTTAAGAAGAAAGCAGCACAATGTCAGGATTCAATCAGACCAGCAACATTACACTTGAATCTGTAATTAGTACATCCTGAGTCTTTGGCCAGAGGAGCTCAAGTCCTACCCTCCCCATGCTTTAGTGCTTCAAGGATGCGTGAAGTCATAAGATGAGGCTGATCACAAAGCCTATCCAATTTAGCAACTCCCAAAGACCACTGGCTTTAGGATAGATAGAGATAGATAATCAGATAGATAACATATATGTGTGTGTTTATAGATATACATGCATATATATAATGTAAACACACACATATACATATATATACCTGTAAATACCTGTATATACATATATATACCTGTAAACACACATATATACACAACTACATGTGTATACCTATATACACATACATATACATACATGTAAATGTGTATATATACACACATACACATGTGTACACACACACATACTGGACCCAAGATTTCATCAGTGTAAGGAGCTCTAGATTGGGAACTTTTTTTTTTAATTTGTTTATTCTGAATTATCAGCAATCACTTCCATAAGCTTTTGAGTTTTAAATTTTTCCATCCCTCCTCACCTCTCTCCCCAAGATGGCATGCAATCTGATATAGGCTATACATATACATTCCTATTAAACATATTTTCACATTAGTGATGTTGTAAGTAAGAATCAGAACCAATAGGAGGAACTGGGGAGGAAACAAAATACAACAGAAGAAAAAGAAATAGCAAATAGTATGCTTCGATCTGCATTCAATCTCCATAGTTTTTTCTTCTTTGTGGATAGCATTTTCCATCAGGAGGCCCTTGGAGATGTCTTAGATCTTTGTATTACTGAGAAGGTCTACGTCTATCAATGTTAGTCATCGCACAGCATGGCTGTTACTGTGTACAACGTTCTCCTGGTTCTGCTCACTTCACTCAGCATCAGTCCATACAAATCTTTCCAGGTTTTTCTGAAGTCGGCCTATTCATCATTTCTTATAGCACAATAGTATTCCATTACATTTATATACCACAACTTGCTCGGCCATTCCCCAATGGATGGGCATCCTCTCAATTTCCAATTCTTCGCCACCACAAAAAGAGCTGCTATGAGTGTTTTTGTACCTGTGGGTCCTTTTCCCATTTGTATGATCTCTTTGGGATGTGGCCTTAGAAGTGCTATTGCTGGGTGAGAGGGTATGTACATTTTTATAGTACTTTGGGCATAGTTCCAAATTGCTCTCCAAAATGGTTGGATCAGTTCACAACTCCACCAACAATGCATTAGTGTTCCAGTTTTCCCACATCTTCTCCAACATTTATCATTTTCCTGTTTTGTCATGTTGGCCAATCTGATAGGTGTGATGTGGTACCTCAGAGTTGTTTTGATTTGCATTTCCCTAATCAATAGTGATTTAGAGCGTTTTTTTTTCATGTGACTATAGATGGCTTTAATTTCTTCATCTGAGAACTGCCTGTTCATATCCTTTGACCATTTATCAATTGGGGAATGACTTGTATTCTTATAAATTTGACTTAATTTTCTATATATTTTAGAAATGAGGCCCTTGTCAGAGAGACTGGTTGTAAAAATTCTTTCCCAATTTTCTACTTTCCTTCTAATCTTGGTTGCATTGGCTTTGTGCAAAAAATTTTCACTTTAATGTAATCAAAGTTATCCATTTTGCTTTTCATAATGTTCTCTATCTCCTGTTTGGTCATAAATTCTTCTATTCTCCATAAATCTGATAGGTAAACTATTCCTTGTTCTCTCAGCTTGCTTACAGTATCAGCCTTTATATCTAAATCATGAACCCATTTTGACTTTATTTTAGTATATGGTGTGACATTTTGATCTATGCCTAGTTTCTGCCATACTCTTTTCCAGTTTTCCCAGCAGTTTTTGTCAAAGAGTGAGTTCTTATCCCAGAAGCTGGGGGCTTTGGGTTTATCAAATAATAGATTACTACAGTCATTGACTGCTGTCTTGCATACTTAACCTATTCCACTGATCCATCACTCTGTTTCTTATCCAGTGCCAAGAAGTTTTGATGACTGCTGCTTTATAATACAATTTAACATCTGGAATGGCTAGGCCACCTTCCCCTGCATTTCTTTTCATTAGTTCCCTTGATATTCTGGACCTTTTGTTATTCCAAATGAATCTCTAGTTGGAAACTTCTACCAATGAAGATTAGCTCCACTGCAATTTATAGTCTTAGAAGATTATTTGGGCACTGAGGGTTAAGTAACTTGCCCAGGGTCACAGCTAAGGCAGTACTTTGTGCCAGTTTTTCCTGACTCCAAGGCTGGCTCTCTGTCCTCTACACTGTATTGTCTGACCGCTGACTTTCCTGTGAACTCAGGTAGAAATCACTCCAGACTTATCAAAGTTGGTTCATCAACAATGGACAAAGTCTAGCATCAGACTCATATTCCATATAATGACCTAAATTCTCTAGTGTGTAGTAGGCAGAGATATAAGGAAAGGTGGTGTGTGTGTGTGTGTGTGTGTGTTTGTGTGTGTGTTGGGGGGTATAATACCATAACAGAATTTTCTTTTAGGAGAGAAAGCATGGTACCTGTAAAAGCACTGAATTCAGACTGGGTTCTGGGACAGGTTCAACTCCTAACTCACTGCGTGGTCTTGGGCTAGTTACTTCTGATCTTTGGGCTTCTGTTTCCATGGAAAATCAAGATATTGGACTAGACTCTCTTCCCTCCAGCTCTGCTAAAGAGAGAGAGAGACTGAGACCTTCAGTGCTCCATGTGCTGCTGAAGTTTAGTATTCTTAACCTTGTTGTGAAACTTTGTTCACTTTTCACAATTCTTTTTATTACAGATACTCAGCTCTCTGATGGCTGCAGGGCCACTGTGGGGACATCTCTTGGCCAGATGGGAACTTTTCCAACAGGTACCAAGTATGACATAGTAGCAGAGCTTTAACTAGGGTGGGATAACTAGAGTTTTGTCCTGGTCACAAGTTTAGAAGATGCATATATTTAACAAATGCAGTCCTTTAGCGGTACACCCATGGAACAACTTAATTCAGTGCTTAGAACAGTGCCTGGTGAGTGGTAGGCACTTAATAAATGTTTATTGACTAACTGAATGTCTTAATTATTTCATTTATTATTTTCACATCATAAAGGAACTCACGTTGCTTTGCTTTCGTGCTGTTTTTCCTGAGCATGAAAATGTCTAGTTCAGATTTACAGACTCTCCTAAAATCACTTTTATCACATCATTACTCTGTTTTTTAAATGTTTGCTTTGTTTACTTTTTTTGGTACTTATTAATATCTTTTTCAATTACATGTAAAGATAGTTTTCAACATTCATTTTTGTAAGATTTTGAGCTCCAAATTTTCATTATTACTCTATTTAAGGTAGTAGTGCTTGGGCTCCGAATCTAAGCTTGGATGAAACATGGGATTCTTTCTGTTTCTCTTTGACTCTTTTCATTTCTGTAGAAAGCCTTGTCTAAGATCATGGCCAGCCATTCTCCAAACCCCCAGCACAGGATCTATTTGTATCTCAGACACAATGCAGGTATCCTTTACTTCCTACAGCAGGGGTGTTCCTGGAGAAGCTCATCAAAATTTAATCTTAATTTAAATAAACCCAGGAGATTCACTATTTAAAGAGTACTTGGGGTAAGTCAGTTTGCAACAGGGAAAAAAAAAGCTATTTTCTTACACAAATAATATTCCCTGATTCATCTTCTATATGCCTGGGATGAGGGAGGACTCCATGAATTGGGTCCTGAAGGAAAGTAAGAAAGGCTGACTTTCCATGGATAGATGGAAGAAGGGCATAATGTAAGCATAGCTTGAGAATGGTGGTTTCTTGAGGTGGTTTTTTGGTCCTTTGAATGGCTGGTGAGTAACCACAAATATTCTCCTGTATTTAATTTAGAAACAAGATGTGCTTTCATGGATTAGGCAAAATAAACCCAAGCATCTCAAACTTATCATATGTTGTGACAATAGTTTCTGTCTGGGGTAAAGTTACTAAGCTAAATGATGCCTTTCGTATTTAGAACAAGAAATTTTTCAGAAGTTTTGCCAAGTAGTAACATGCTGTGACCTTGGCTGACTTACTTCCCTCTCTTGGTCTCAGTTCCCTTATCTGTAAAATGAAGGGTTTGGACTCCATGGTTTATAAGATTTCCTCTAACTTTGGCAATCTGAGCTCTCAAGTCCCTTCAAGTGCTGGATTGTGGAACTTCCAACCTCTCAACTCTTTGATAGCTAAGGCCTTACAAAGTAGCAGTGAAATTTCATGTACATTAAGGGAAGGACGGCAAATAATGGGCATATATGTTCATTCCTGTGTGAGAGTAGGGATGCATAGGGTTGTGTTTGTCCTTCATTCTCAAAGAGGACCATGACATTAGGGAGACGATGACATGACTTGCAACTGACTTTGATTTGAGTAAGGGAGGGCTGTGCAAAGTCACCAGCCTCACTTTCTCCTCCAGAGCCATCTGGGTGCTGTGGCCAGATATTCATCAGGATGACTAGAGATGGTCTAGGATGCTATGGGAGAACCTGGCCCTTTTAAGCCAAGGTCTTTTCAGGTTCTCACTTTGAGTGAGGTAACACCCAGACCTCTTTAAGAAGTAAGTCAAGGGACAGCCCCTTTAATAATAATAAAAAGAAAAATCAAATTGGGAGGGGAAGACCCTCAGGACTGCTGGCCAAAAGAGAAACTGTTACTATTTATGGATGAAATACAGAAAGAAGAAGTTGGGTTAGATATTAAGAAGTATTTCCCAATGAATTCAAACATCTGTTGAGGCTCATTAGAGGAGCTTATGAATGGATGAATGAATTCAAAAGCATTTATTAAGCACTTATATTCTAAGAGGTGAGGATACAGATACAAAAATGAAGATAGTGTATGTTTTCAATGAGCTTATATCAACACCCATAGTGGAGTTGTGGCCACTTTGGTTTGGGATGATGGGGGGAAGGGATGATGAATGGAGGAGGAGATTGACACACAACCTTTCTAGTAGCAATGATTACATTGATTTGATTATGATTCCAGAACTGGAAAGCAGGTGGGAAAGAGGGGTGACAAATGACAAATGACAAGACAATGACCAGGAAGTAGAAGGAAGTGTAGCTGGAGCCTTCCTAGATACAGCTGGCCCTGTCAGGGTCTCAACCTTCAGGACAGCAGGGTCCTAGGGCAGAAAGGCTAAAGCCCTTCAGGGCACAGTATCTGGTCTTCTCCACATGTATTTCTTCAGTAAGCTATGAAATTAAGTTGGTCCAAGCACCGCCATCTCTATGAAGCCTTCAATAACTGTTCCCAGCCACAAAGAGTAATAAAGCTAAAGCCAGTAAGTACTACAGGAGTTCAGAAAAAGGGAACTTAATTTTGGAGATCATTTATTTGGGCTCATTGTTGTTGAACACATACAACGAGAGACCAAATAGTCAAAATAACAATGTAATATGTAACTATTCTCACTGAATAGTGTGTGATCTTGAGGTAATATTTTTTTTTAAATAACAATCAATAGGGTTACTAATCTTTCAGAGTCTCAGACTCATAGGATTTCGCACTGAAAGGAGCCTGAGAGATCATCCAATTCAACCTCCTCCTTTTATAGATCAAGGAAACTAAAACCCAGGAAGTGTGAAGTAATTTGCTCAGGGACATAGGGGTAGTAAGTAGCATTGCGGGATTAGAATTCAGATCTTGTAAGCCCCAATCCAGTGGCTTTTCCACTAGGCTATATTACTTATGCATCTCTAGAGACCAAAGGATTCTTCTATGTGGACTCAGAGACAGATTAGTCCAGGGGTAGGGAACCAGTAGCCTTGAGGCTACATGTGGCCGTCTAGGTCCTCAAGTGTGGCCCTTCTACTGAATCCAAACTTCACAGAACAAAGCCCCTTAATAAAAGGATTTGTTCTGTAAAACTTGGACTTGCATAAAGCAGGTGCTTAGAGGTCCCCAAGGTTAGTAAAGCAGTTAGTCTGGGTTCTACTCCACCACTATCACCCTTCCCCTCCCCTGCAGGGCTTAATAATTATTCCCTTTTTTAAACTCAAACCCTCTGTCATTTGAGATGGAGAATTGATGGAATCATAGTATCATTAAGGCAGCTAAGTGGTACAACGGACGCATCACTGAACATGTAGTCAGAAAAACTTGCATTCAAAATCAGCCTTGGGAGGCAGCTAGGTGGCGCAGTGGATAGAATACCGGCCCTGAAGTCAGGAGGACCTGAGTTCAAATCTGACCTCAGACCAAACACTTGACACTTACTAGCTATGTGACCCTGAATAAGTCACTTAACCCCAATTGCCTAAAAAAAAAAAGTCAAATTCAGCCTTGAACACTTATTAGCTGTGTGATCTTGGACAAGTGATTTAACCTCTGGCTGCCTCAGTTTTCCCATCTATAAAGTAGAGATAATAATAGCACCTGCCTTGTAGGGTTGTTGTGAAGATTGAATATTTATAAAGTGCTTTACCTAATTTAAAGAGCTGCATAAGTTTTATTATTATTATTATTTATTCCTATTATTATAGACAGATTTAAAAGTGACTTTTTACAAATGAGCAAATTGAGGTCCAGAGAAGAAAGGTGACCCAGCTCCTTAGCTTCCAAAGATAGCATTCCTTCTGTCACAATCATGCTGTTTTTAATATGTGATTTGGGGCTCATGTGATAAGGTCTCCAGAAGGTTTTAATCAACCAAGACACTTTCCACTAGATGATGATGAACTCAAGACATCAGAAGACGGTAATAATAATTTGAATTTAAGTAGTGCCTTAAGATGTACAACACAGATGGAAACCATTCATAAGAGCTCAAGACCTGGGGAGGAGGCAGCATAGTGTAGTAAAAGAGGAAAAAAAATCAAACCCACTGAATCGGGAATGGAGAGAACCCCAGCTTTGACATTTGCTCTAGGTTATCTGTAAGTCATTTTATTTCTCTAAGCCTTAGTCTCACTTGAACTACCTGCCTCACATGGTGGTTGTGAAGAATGAAAGGGCTCTGTAAACACCAAAACCTATTGAAAAGTGAGCCCATGTATAGCTTTGCTGCTGACCTATCTACCCTTCCCTCTTGAATCACTGAACAAATTTGTAAAAGACATAGGTTTAGGCTTCTTGGGGTAGAAGTGTCCTCCGGCACAACGAAACTACAAGGATGGCCCCACCATGTTGAAAAGAGACCTGCTGCCATGTATGGGCCTCTCTTTCTCATGTCTTGCCTCCCTGTTAGGTCAATTTCCCTAAATGGCCAAGGGCCAAGCAGACCTTCCCAGAATAATACTTTATTGCTGCCAAATAATTCTGGGTTAATTCCGGTTTAGAAATCATTGCAGTCTTCAACTACAGGAACACAAAAGTGAGAGAAACATCCTTGCTTTACCCAACACCCCTTAACATAGGTACCTTAAATTCCCCAACTAAATTATAAGCTGTTGGAGAGTAGTAACCATGGCTTATATTTCTTTTTTGTCCCCCTATATCACAAAGCTGGTTTGTTGGTTAGAGGAATTATCATAGAACAGAGGAAGGGCCCTTAGAACACAGAAGGCTAGAGCTAAAAGGACCTCGGAGATACTGATTCCACCATTTTTCAGAAAAGCAAACTTGTAGGATCACAGGATCATATAAGAAAGGGATCTTAAAGGCCATCAGTTACAACTTTCTCATTTCACAAATAGGGAAGTTGAGGCTAACTTACCGAGGGTCACATCTGGTAAGTATTTGAGGCAGGATTAAAACTCAGGTCTTCCTGACTCTTAAATCCAAAGTTCTGTCCATTGAACTATCCTGCTTCTCTCTGGAGGCTTCTGGTGGGAGGTTGGGTGGTCACAGTCTGCCACTAAACATGTCCTTACATAGTTATAAAAATAGGTTCTAGGTATTCCTGGCTTCCACACTCTAAAGACCAACCTCATTCTAGATTTCCATTTGTAGAAACCCTCTCAAAAGGGGGAGGGGAATGGTGGTGCCCTGCTGTGTGTAAGAAAGGACATAGATATAAATGTTCCAGTACTCTTTGGATGGAAACTGAATGATACAGGACTAATGGAATAGTTTGTGTGGTTATCTGAGAAGGTTAGTGCAGTTGTGTGTAGTAGTAAAGCTGTTTCAGTCGTGTCTGACTCTTTGTGACCTCAAAGGTCCTCCTGATTCCAGGGCCAGCGCTCTATCCATTTCACCACCTACCTCAGTCAAATAATAGCAACATTAAAAGTACCTACCAAAAAGATATGATCCCAAAGTTATCGATCTGCTTGGGGAATAAACGACATCAAAAAACAATACCAGGGAATGCATTTCAAAATTATTGTAGGTAAGTACTTTAAGTAGTTAGGGAAAGTAGATACTTCTGAGTTCTTGAGTCTAGGAAAATACACTCCTCTTCCTTCTGGGAAGGTATACCTGTTGTTAACATTCAGGGATTACAGCCTGAGTAAAGAAAAGCGATGAGTCTTAGATGATATGTATGACTCAGATAAGAGAACTAGATCCTTGTCTCAGGTACTGATATCCAGAGGGAAATGTATTTCCTGTGGGAGAATGGCATTATTTTTCTCCTTGCTGTATTCCAGAAACCAGCAAGCCTGACTCTCTCTTTCCTCCACCAGCCTATCCCTCCTCTAGTCCACAGGGATTCAAAGGGAAAGCAGGTCCCAGAAAAGAATAGAGCAGGATCACAGGCTGGCAGAAGTCAGGGAAGAGGGGGGAGGGCTCTCCCACCATGACTAGACTTGGAGTTCAATGGTCTCCTCTGGCGCTCACTTAGGCCACAAGCTCCTTTTCTACAATGAAATTTACTCCAGGGACCAGAATGCCTACTGATAGCTCTGACCACAAGCCAATCTCTTCCAGATATTTCCTTGAAGCTTATCATGGTACAACCAAAGAGTGGCGTTCCTGACCCCTGTCTACAAGAGGAGTTGAGGCGAAGACTCCGTCTCTTGGAAAATGACAGCAGGGAGGTTTCAGCTGTGTTCAGCGTAAGTCCTAATGATTTGGATGCTTAGAGTGCTAAGACATTCTCTTAACTTTCCTTCCCAGGCCTTAAAGGCAGTTAGAAGTGGGTTCAAGTGCTATCCCTGACAAAATACCATTTACATATTGAGGCAGCTAAGTGGTACAGTAGAGAGAGTGCTGGAGTTGTCATCAGGAAGACCTGAGTTCAAATTCTTCCTCAGATATACCTACCAGCTCATGACTGTAGGCAAGTTACATAATCTCTCTTAGCCTCAGTTTCCTCATTTGTAAAATGGGGACAATAATATCATCTGCCTTTGAGGGTTGTTGTGAGAATCATCTGTTCTATATAAATGCTAGCTATTATTAGCTAACTATGTGACCCTGGTCAAGTCACTTAACTTCTGGTCTAATTCGCTAGATGATTCTCTAAGAATATAAATTGCCAAAAATTTGTATCAGTAAAAATAGTTTCCTATCCTAATTAGATCACAGAGCAAGGCCATTCACAGAATTGTATCCTTAGTCCCCTAAGTAACCTTGAATGCCTTTTCCTGAACTGTATTTGATATAAATACCTTCCTGTTCCCCTGCCCTGATTTCTCTCTCTCTCTCTCTGTCTCTGTCTCTGTCTCTGTCTGTCTCTGTCTCTCTGTCTCTAGTTCATCCTTCATTCCTAGGGGTTGGTTCTAACTCCCTCACAGCATACTTGTGTACATATGCAGTGAGATCAGTAGGCCTGTGTTGGAACTTGATCTGCCGCAGGCCAAAGGCTAAGCTGTTAGACTGCTACTAGTCCAGATCGGAAAGGAACCATAGAATCTAGAATGTCAGAATTGGAAAAGACCTTCGACCCATTAGAACATGGAAGATTAGGGCGGGAAGCAACTCTAGCTCATAGAAAATAGGTCTTTTCCAGTTTTAATATTCTTGTAAACTCTCTAAGCCAAAGTGTTCCCTGACTTCCAACAACACTACCCCAAAGACAGATTTATTATTTCATCAGATCCTTTGGGGATTTCGTCAAGTCCACTTCGTAGACCAAGCTTGCTCCAATGGGTGTGTTGGCTAGCTACTCTCCGTTTGAGCATGCTGTTAAGCACACTGGAGAGGTTGGGTTTCTCAAAACAATTTTTAAAAAGTGACTTTCTTACAAATACATGCCTCTTTTCCAAAGGGCTGAACTTTGAGCAAGAGTGGCTGATCCACATGATGGGAAGGGGCTGGTTTTCCTTGCCATGTGCAATTCTGGTTGTTTTGTCAATTGTGCAATTTAAGCTTCCTCATCTTTGCCGCAAGGAATGATTTTATTCAATCAGTGTCTAAGGCAAGTCCTGTGTGATGTTGCCCCACCAAGGTCCTTTCATCATCACCTCCTTGGATTCCCTTATGGTGATAGTGACAGCTCATACTTCTGATGTTTTCAAACACCCCATCAGTGCAACAAAGGAAAGTATGATGCTCTTTATTTTATGGGAAAATGAGCCTCAGGGGAAGTGTTTGGCCCAAACTGACTTAGCGAAAGAATGGGAGAACAGAAATTCAACCTAGGACTTAGGACACACCTTTCCACGTCCACTGCTGTTGTTGTTCAGTCAAGTCTGACACTTCATGACCCCGTGGATGATACTGTGATACAGTCCATAGAATTTTCTTGACAAAGACACTAGAGTGGTTTGCCATTTCCTTCTCCAGTAGATTAAGGCAAACAGAGGTTAAGTGACTTGCCCAGGGTCACACAGCTAGTGAGTGTCAAGTGTTTGGTCTGAAGCTGGATTTGAACTCAGGTCCTCCTGACTTCAGGACCAGTGCTCTATCCACTGCACCACCTAGCTGTCCCTAGTCCAAGGCTTCTTAAACTTTTTCTAATCGAGGCCCACAGTTTAAGAAGCATTGATTCTAGTCCAACCTTCAGGTCTTTTTCAGATGGGCTGCTATCTAGGTACCACCACCATCTTCTATTTGTGAAATTGATTTTTTTGAACCCAACTCTGGCTAAACAAAAATCTCTTCTACACTATCCAGCCTGTGTTTGCAGACTTGTAGTGACTCATTATCTCCAAGATAATCCATTCTTTTAGATCACTTGAATTATTTCCCTTTGCATTGTGCTTAAATCTACTCTGAAATTTCCATCTTCCATTGGAATATAAGCTTCTTGAGAAGCTTATATTCTTTGAATTTGTTTCCCTAGAGCTTAGCACAGTACTGGGCTGGTGCTTAATAAATGCCTGTTTATTTGATTCCATCTATTGTTCCTAGATTTTCCCTCTGCAAACAAATATAGCATGACTCCTTTATGATAGCCCTTCCAATACTGGACCACCCTTGTCATGGATCTCCTCAGGCTTCTCTTCCCCAGGCTAGACCACACAAGTTCTTTATCCTGATCTTCATAGGGCATGGCATCCAGGCTATTAACCATCCTGTATGTTCTCTTCTGGTTGCTCTCTGGCTGACTGATGTCTTTTTTAAAATATGGTACTCAGAATTGAACCTAATATTCTCAGGCATGGTCCTACAGACACAGCTGTCTTCATGTGGCCTAAGATTGCATTAGTATTGGGGTCATTGCAACATTATTGATGCTTATAAAGTTGGTATTTAGAATGCTCAATTATTTTTCAAGAAGAACTATTGTTTAGACATGCCTCTTCTATCTTAACTTGTGAAACTGATTTTTTAAACTCCATTGTAGAATTTTACTTTTATCTCTATTTAAATTTTGTTAGATACAGGGCACCTAGGTGGCACAGTGGATAGAGCACCAGCCCTGGAGTTAGGAGTTCAAATCTGGCCTCAGACCAAACACTTGACACTTACTATCTGTGTGACCCTGGGCAAGTCACTTAACCCCAATTGCCAAAAATAAATAAATAAATTTTGTTAGATCCTACCCATTGTAATGGGCAGCTAGGTGGCACAATGGATAGAGTGCCAGGTCTAGAATCAGGAAGACTCATCTTCATAAGTTGTGATCCAGGGCAAGTCACTTAACCCTGTTTGCCTCAGTTTCCTCATCTATAAAATGAGCTGGAGAAGAAAATGGCAAACCACTCTAGTATCTCTGTCAAGAAAACCCCAAATGGAGTCGAGGACAATCAGACAAGACTAAAAATGACTGAACAACAACAATCCATTGTAATAGCCAGTCAAGAACTTATGGGATCCTGACTCTGCCATCCAGTTCATTTACTATCCCTTCAAGCTTTGTGACATTTCCAAATTTAATAAGTGTGCTATCTATGCCTTCAAGCAAGTCACTGATAAAATGTTGAACAGCACAGATTAAAATACATGTGCTCTGGAGCACTGGTTTAGAAAACTCCTATTGATTTGCTAGTTAGTGATGATGGCCCATGAATTAACCAATCAAAAGGATTTATTAAGTGTTTACCATGTACCATGAACTGTGCCAAGTACTGGGGAGACAAAAAAGGATAAACAGTCCTTTCCTTCAAAGAGCTCACATCCTAATGGGAGAGATAATGTATAAAGAGCTAGTTATATATAGGCTGTATATAGAGTGGATGGGAGATAATCTCAAAGAGGAAGGTACCTGCCACTGGGGGCCCTGAGAAAGGTCTCTTGGAGAAGGTGGGATTAGAGCTGAACACATTCAAATGGCTTGCTGAAGAGTCTGTTGTGAGAAGTTTGAGTATAATGAAAAGGACAATAATAATAATAATTTTAGTATAATGAAAAGAGCCCTAGACTGTAAGTCATTAAGTAGAGAATTCTGACTTGAAAAAGATGTCAGACTTCATCCAGACCAGGAGTTCTTAACCATTTTGGTGTCCCTTATACAGTCAATCTAACAAAAGCACCAAGCTAGACAGGGCAGTTAGTTGGTGGCACAGTGGATAGAGCACTGCCCCTGAAATCAGGAGAACCTGAGTTCAAATCCGACCTCAGACCAAACACTTGACACTTACTAGCTGTGTGACACTGGGCAAGTCACTTAACCCCAATTGCCTAAAAAAAAAAAAGAACCAAACTAGACCACTGAGTCACAGAACCTTAGAGATAGAAGGGGCCTTAGAGTTCATGAAGCCAACCCCATCTTTCCACAAATGTTCCATGGGGTTCATTGCATTCCTAAATGTATAGTTCTGTGATTCTATTCATCAAAGTCAGATTTAGTGTTGTAGATTAACAAAAGAGGATGGAGATGTGCACCCTCTGAGCATTCTGTGATTTTAACCAGGACAGAAAACTATTAATAGCACTTAAAGATGACAAAAAAAAGAAAAAGAAAAAGAAACTCTGAGCTTATGTTAATATTTAACAAATTAGTAAATATTGTATGTAGTTCAGAGATGAAATCTCACCAGAATGGTAAGGAGAAAGAAGACTTTGCCTTATGAGGGTCTGCTGAAGATCTGGGAATGTTTAGCCTGATGGCAGAGAAAACTTAGGAAATGGGAGGGGCAAAATTGCCTGAAGTACAATGGAACTTGGAATCATTAGTGTATGGGGAGAAGGGCCCAAGTAAAAGGTGAAGCCTGTGTTGTACTATGAATGAATGAATGAATGAATGAATGAATGAATGAATGAGTGATTGAAAAAAAATTTATTTGCCAGATACTGAGCTAAGTATTGTGGATACAAGTGCAAACAAGCAAGACAGTGCCTCCCCTCATAGAATTTATGTTCTAATAAAATAATTCTATAAGACAAGGCAGAGTTAGAATGATGGTGATAGTGTTTTAAGGTTTATAAAATATTTGCCTCATAACTCTCTGAGGTAGGAAATGAAAATATTAGTGCCCCATACCTCCCTTTTACACAGGAGGAAAATGAAGCTCAGAAAAGTGAGTTGACTTGCCCAGGGTCACATAGCAGGTGGATTAATGGATAACGCACTGGGCTCAGAGTCAGGAAGACCTGAGTTCAAATCTAGCCTTAGACTTGGTAGATAGGTTGCATTTACTTAGATAAGTATCACTAACTGTGTGACCTTGGACAAGTCATTTGACCTTTGTTTGCCTTAGCTTCCTCCACTATTAAATAGTGATAATAATCATATCTGCCTCCTAGGATTGTTGTGAGGATAAAATGAAATAACAATTGTAAAGCACTTAGCACAGCGCCTGTACATAGTAGGTGCTATATAAATACTAGTTATAATAATTATTTTTATTATTACTAGGAATATAACCCATCCTTGACTTCAAGCAGGAAACGATCTGAAGGACCATAGAAAATTAGCTAATCAAAAGTATTTATTAAGTGTTTACTATGTACTATGCACTGTGGCAAGCACTGGGGATACAAAGAAGAGTATAAATAGCCCTTATCTTCAGCTAGGTGGTACAGTAGACAGACCACTGAGCTTGTGGTCAAGAAGACTCATCTTCCTGAGTTCAAATCTGGCCTCAGACACTTACTAGCTGTGTGACTCTGGGCAAGTCACTTAACCCTGTTTGCCTCGGTTTCCTTATATGTAAAATGAACTGGAGAAGAAAATGGCAAACCACTCCAGTATCTCTGCCAAGAAAACCCCAAATGGGCTCAAGAAGAGTTGGACGCAACTAAACAGCAACAACAACCAAAGGGAAAGCAGATTGGTAGCATAAATCAAAACTTGGAGACCTTTGAAAAAGTTTATCAATGATAGTTTGCAATCTGGCATTTGGTGTTTCCCATTTGCCACTAACAACCTTGACTATTTGAACATCAGTACTTTAATAATAGCCCCAAACTAATCTTTGAATAATGCCAACTTTGGTATCAAAATATCTTTCCTTTTCTTTTTTTCCTTTAGGAGCTATCAGCCAGGCTGCTGTCCATTCACAGTGACCAGGACCTTATTGTAGTGACATTTAAAACCTTTGAAGAAATATGGAAGTTTTTTACCTATTACTGTCTAGGTAAGGCACTTAGAATCCTAGGGAGAAATGTTAAATTGTTTCTCATTATCCCTCTTGGGTTCAACTCCTGCCTCAGAAGTGTGATCCTGAGTAAGTCCCTTAACCTCTGTGAGCCTCAGTTTTCTCATCTGTAAAATGGGGATAATCAAAGTGTTTACCTTCCAGACTCATGAGGATCAAATGAGTTAACATCTCTAAAGTGCTTTGCAAACCTTGAAACTCTGAATAAATGCTATCTATCATTATTATTATTATAAAATCATTTTCATCTTGTTATTATTGTTATTGAAAAATTCTTTGGGAAAATATTTCACTAAATACTAACCATATAAAAATAATAATAATTTAGTAATAGTAATAATCACTTGTGCTTTTGACCATTTCTGCTAATAAAACTTATCCTGTAGTTTTTCAAAAACAGATAATAATAAATGGTATTTAGTGGTGTTTACAATCACAACCTTTTTCATTTGATTTTCACAGCTCTTTAAGTTAAATAATAAAGTTATTTTTATCACTCCTCCTTTATCAATAGATAGTTGTCATGACTTGACCAAGGTCACAGGCCTCACTTCTGATTTCAAGTCCAGAGCTCTTTCTATCATTTGATAGTACTATAGGCATAGAGAAATAGGCTGAGCATTTGTTAAGTGTTTACTGTATGCCAGATACTATGCAAAGGCCTAGGGATACAAAGAGAAGCAAACAAGACCAATAGGGGTTTATATTCTAATTGGAGAACACAAGGTATAAAGGGGAACTGGAAAGAGGGTTGGGGGTTGGTGAGGAAACTCATATTGGGGCATGGAGTGGAGATGACCAGGAAGTAGGGGAGACGCCTGGCCCTGAGCAAAGTAAGGAAAGCTCACTCACCTCTCAGAGACCAGCTTCCTAGGCTCAGACAATTTGATATCTAAGACACACAGATAAATACATCTTCTAACCACAAGATATCCCCTGGGGAAAAGCATTTTTAATGAACCTTTGATAGTAGGATTTAATGAAAAGGACATTGGTATTCATGGCATCATAGAATTTAGAGTGATGGGGACCTTGGACAGATAGGTGGCTTGGTGGCTAGAGCTCTCAGCTTGGAGTCAGGAAGATCTGAGTTCAAATACAGCCTCAGACATTTGGTAGCTGTGTGACCCTGGGCAAGTCACTTAACATCTGTTTTCCTTATGCACTGGAGAAGGAAATGGCAAACCACTCCAGTATCTTTACCAAGAAAAGCCCATGGACAGCTGGTCCATGGGATCACAAAGAGTTGGATGCAACTGAACAACAACAAGTAAAGAGAGGTTAAAGATTTTCCCAGTCATATAAAGAGGTAGTGGGCAGGGTTAAGAACTGGACCTGCAATTTCATTATTATGGGGAACTTCCAATGAAGACACTCTCTCTCCTAATACAGGTTAGCATTGAGTCGCCATTAAGAGGGGACTAAAGCACTGAAATTGACCGAGGTCACAGCACCATTTTGTGCCAGCGGCTCCAAAAATCAGCTCTCTGTTCACCATACTTTGCTGCCTTTCTTTCACAAAGTCATCACGTGACTAATAATTGCCAAAGCCAGAATTTGAGTCCAGGCCCTTTCATTCCTAATTCATTATGTTTTCCACTCCCCCATACTGTCATTTGGAGTCTGGAGCTCTGGGCGCTGATTTTGTCTCTTCCCTCATCCTTCTCTCTTCTATAAAATTAGGGTAATAACATGTCTTCTACTTCATATGCTGCTTTTGAGTTTCAAATGAGATAAGGTTCATGAAATGCCTTGTGAACTCTAAATGCTACACGTGTTAAATCAGCATGCCTATTGGTTAAATCAGCATGCCTATTGTTGACTCACAGCTCATTTTCTTGTAATTTTGCTTCTACTAATTTTCTTATAATTTTGCTTCTCTTAGGATCTCTTAGGGTGCACTTTTAACTAAGACATGTTCCTTTTTTGCAAATTTTGAGATAGTTTTCCTGTGCTGAATTCTGACTGTAATCTTAGCAGATGGGTGCATTTACCTCCCTTTTGCAAGGGGTCTAGGAAACACAGAAGGCTTTCTAATTTTATCTTTCTGTTGGCTAGGTTTCATAAACCACTGCATGGAAAACTTGTTGATGGACCAAGACTTCTGGCTTCTCTCCAGCTACAAGAGCAAGGGGGACAGTACTGACTTCGATGCTGGGATTGATGTCTTTATTGATGAAGAGGCTTTAGAGTTAATGCACAAAAGCCTCTTAATCCAGGAAGGTGAGGATTGCTTGAATAAAGGTATATTTAGAAGGCTGTTGTTTTTTTCTTCCCTTTGGAAACTAGGAAGAAAGAGGACAGAAATGAAACCCAGGCATACCTTGAAATTTTGAAGCCCTGAATTTTTCAGTTCTTTTAAGCAACGAAAACTATACAAAAATGGAATTGGCTGCCCTGAAAAGTAGAGAGTTTCCTGTTGTTGACAATGTTCACATGGCAGTTGGCTGACCACTTCAGATTATCTGTTTGGAGCTGGAAAGGACCTTAGAGACCATTAAATACAAACTGCTCATTTATAAAGTGCTTTGCAAATCTTAAAGTGCTACCTATATGAATACTCTATTTGTTGTGGTTACATATGAGGAAACTGAATACTAGTGAGGTTAAGTGACCTGCCTAAGGCTAGTAAAAAGCAGAGTTGAGGTTTGTGAGTCAAAATCCAGCACCCGGAGGTCCATTGTAAAGGTGATCAATCAACTAACAAGTATTTATTTAGCACCTACTTTGTTCTAGGAACTGTCCTAGGCTTTGGGGATACAGAGAGGAAAAAAAATTTAAATAACTTTAACTCTCAGGAAGTTTGCATTCTATTGGGGGACACAACATACACATATAGAAGCATGTACAGAATAAATACAGTATAATTAAGACCAAAAGGGAGGACACCAGCAGTCAGAAGGATGATGAAAGGAAAATTGTGAGGAAGACAATTTTTGAGGTGAGTCTTGAAGATGGAGAGTGTTTCTTTGAGGCAGAAGTGACTGAGCAGTACATCCTAGGCTTGGGGGATGGCCACTGCAAAGGCGTAGAAATGGAAGAGGGACTGATGTGGTCAGTTTAGCTAGACTATAAAGTGTGAGTTTAGGATGAAATTTGGAAAGTACAAAAGCTGGAAATATAGGTTGAAAGTCTTTAAAAGTTGCAAAAAAGAGTTTACATTTTATTTTAATGGGCATAAGGAATCATTGGAGTTTCTTGAATAAGGGAGTGATGTGATTGGAATAAGCCTGAGGAAAATCCCTTTGGCAGCTCTGTAGAGGATGCATTGGAATGGAGGGAGTCTTAAAGTAGAGAGATTAATTAGAAGATCACTAAAATAGTCCAGGTAAAATGGGAAGATGGATTGCATTGGAGTGAGTCTTTAAGCAGAGTAATTAGTTAGTAGAGCATTGTAATATTCCAGGTGGGAATTGATGAAGGCCTGAAGGTGATAGCTGTGTGAATAGAAAGGAATTGGGGGCAGCTAGGTGGCACAGTGGATAGGGCTCCAGCCTTGGAGTCAGGAGGACCTGAGTTCAAATTTGGCTCAGACACTTGATACTTACTAGCTTTGTGACCCTGGGCAAGTCACTTAACCCCAATTGCCTCACCCCTCAAAAAGAAAAGGAATTGTATGCGAGAGAATTTGCAGATGCCAAAACTGCAATATTTACCAACCAATTAGACATGGAGGATGAGAGAGAATGAGGAGTTGAGGATAATACCAAGGAGATGAACTTGGGAGACTAGGAGAATGGTGGTTCTCTCAACATAAATAGGAGTTTAGTAGAGGGAAGGGATTTGGGGGAAAGATAATGGTTTGTTTTCAACATGTTGAATTTACGATGTCTCCAAGATGTCCAGTTTGAAATGCCTAATCCATTGTGAGTAATGTAGAACTTTTTATTTGCATAAAAATGATAATTAAACCCATTGGAGTTGATGAAGTCACTGAGAGAGAATATATAAATAAAGAAGAGAAAAGAGCCCAGGACAGAGCCTTGAGATACATCCACAGTTAGATGGTATGAGATAGTTGAAGATCTGCAGAGAAAATTGAGGAGAGGTCAAATGGTTAAAAGAACAAAGAGTTGCGTCATAAAAACCCAAGGAGAAGAGAGTATTCAGGAGGAGTGAGCGTGGTCAAGAGTATCAAAGGCAGTAGAGTCCAGAAGGATGAGGACTGAGAAAAGATCATCAGAGTTGACTTCGGTCATGTTAAAGTGAAGGGCTGAACTAGTTGACCCATTCTATCCCTTCTAGCACTGAAATTCTATGAAACTGCTTAATGATAGAGTATGATGGTTAATTTATTACTAAAATTTATTCTTTTTACCTATCTTTTGATGTAGGAGGCTGAAATTGTTTTAGGAAACATTTAGTAATAACAGAAATTTTTTATTGTCATTATTTTGCTCTGGACCTTTGACTTCCTTGGAGTAGGGGGCTCCCTGATGAGGAAACTCCCTCTACCAATGCAGATTAGAAGCTGTATTGAAACTAGTAGTCTTAGAGAATTGCCTTAGGCATTGAGAGGTTAAGTTATTTGCCCAGAGTCAAATAGCCAGTGTATGTCAGAGACAGGACTTGAACCTAGGTTTTCCCTGATTCCAATGTTGACTCACTATTCACTATTTCACTGCCTCTCAACAACAACTACAATAATAACTCATATATCTCTAGAATTTTAAGGACAAAACAATTCCACAAAATAAGTTGGACAAGTATTGTTCTCATTTGACAGATGAGGAAATTGAGGCTCCGAGAGATTAAGTGAACTTTCCCATGGTACTATAGCTAATAGGCATCATTATCTGAACCTCTTGCTTCCTGTCTCTTCCCATTTGTCTTGATCTTTCAGGATCTAGAATAAAGTCAAGGAGAACTGGATTTATCCAAATATTTTTTTCACTCCTACCTAGAACAAGTCAGCAGCTACAGGAAACAAGCCTGCTACTCCAACAGGGCTCAATTCCAATTTTTCCTAGGATTCAATATGACATAGCTTCTGTCTTCCCATCTTCCATGATAGTCTCAGATGCTACTCCTCTCTCTCTCTCTCTCTCTCTCTCCCTCTCTCTTTCTCTCTTTCTCTCTTCCTCTCTCTTTCTCTTTCTCTCTCTCTCACTCATTCTTCCCCAAATGTTACATCAGATCCTGATTTACCACAACTCTTGTCATTTACTCATATTATATTATTTGTCTACATCAGTATTGTTTTGTACATGCCCAGTCCAGGATCTAGGTGGGTTGGGAGGTGGAGGCAGTATGGAAGTACTCTGTTGTTTGGACAGGAATCCTATGATGCTGTTGTCGTTGGTGACTTGGTTATCATAGAAGCATAGACCTAGAAGCAGGATGGACTTCAAAGATCATATAGTCCAACCCCTACATTTTACAGATAAGAAAAGAGGTAACTTAAGTAAGTTTTTGAGGTTTCTGAGTCAAAATCCAGCACAATAAGGTCCATTGTAAAGGTGATCAATCAACCAGAGTCACTTAAGTAAGAAGGGACAGATGTTGGATTCAAACTCTGGTCCTCTCACTTCAGAGCGACTATTCTTTCCACTGTACCCTTCCATCTCCATTATAGAACCCAGACTCCTAACTCTTAAGTTCCCCACTCCATAGATTCCCCCTCCCTTTTGCTGCCATTATCTGGGAGCTTTCCAGGTCTGGAGGTGCTGAATTACTCAGCCTGCCTCAGTCCCCATGGACCTACTTGAAGTCTCCAGTGCTTCTTGACATTCTCCTTGACAGAAATGGGAAATAGGAGGAGTACCTTAAATTATAAAAAGATGAGATTGATTCTATAACACATGCAAAATTAGGTTCATCACTTTATACAGCTCTGACATCTCCCTGTACTACACTGCACATGGTTACATAACTTCCTGGTTTGTTTTATGGATCAAATGAGATGATACTTGAAATGTGCTTAGCATAGTGCCTGGCACATAGTAATAAATGCTTATTGGCTAATGGTCCTCCTGTGATAGGGAACTCACTACTTTTGGAAGAAAAAAGGCAAGGTTGCTGAAAAATAAGGCAGGGTCTTTTGGGATGGATTATCTAGTTTACATAGAATATAAGTTGATGAATAGTGTTTAAAGTCCAATTTGATCCATTAAGGGTCTTACCCCATGACCAGAGCCACTTTAAACCAATAATAACATTTATAGGATTAAGCAAGGATTAAAAAAAAATTCTTGCAAGAAATCAAACCATACAATATATCAATAAATTTTTTCTTTTTGCTGACTTGAAAGAAATCCTCTGGTACATTTTAAGGGTCATTCTTTGTATTGTGTCCTGACAACCAAATAAGAGAGATCATGGCTCCAAGAGGTGAAAGGAAGGCTGGCCAGCCCTGCCGGATTGCATCGCCAAGCTATCTGAGGACACCGACGCAGACTGCCCAGACACTGTCTGATAGCCTCCCCATGTCAGCCGAAGGGGCCTCTGAGGAACTCTTGATTCCATTTCATCAGTAGGTACCGAAATAAATCTTCTCTTATATTTACTGGGCCTTAGAAAAAAAGTTTCCTGTTATTAGGTTGTACTTTGGTGCCTGGTTGGTGGTGGGAAGGGGCGAGGGAGGAGGAATAATGATAAGGAATGTCTTACTATTTAGTTTTTATCTTTTATATACCTTGCTAAGCACAGGAGCTTGCACATCGTAAGTGCCTAATACATCCTTGCTGGATGGAGTGCCTATTTTATTTGATATTTACAACAACCCACTGAAGAAGATATGGCCCCATTCATTATCCTCATTGGACAGATGAGAAAATTGAGGTTCAGTTAGTGAGAAGTAAAATGAGAAAGGACTTTAGAATACAGAATGCCAGAGCTGGGAGGATATTTAGAACATAATATATCAGATCAGGGAGGGAACTCAAAAGATGCCAGCTTTGCCACTTACTGTGTGACCTTGGACAAGTCCCTAAACCTCTATGGGCATCAGTTTCCTCATCTATAAAATGGTGAAAGTGGTAGGGAGAGGCTTGGAATAGATGACTTCTAAGGTCTCTTCCTCCTTTAACTCTATTATTTTATGATTGTCCTTAAGATTGGTACCAAATGGGGACTTGCATGAAGCATATGTGTACTTTCTCCTCACCTCCATCCGTCAGTATCCCCATTCTCCAAGTCTCAGCTCAAGTGCCATCTTCTACATGAAGGCTTTGCTTATCCCCTCCCTCCTCAGATTCTATTGCTCTCCCTTCTAAAATCACCTTTTATCTGTTTTCTATATACCTACATATGGACACGTTGTCTAGTTGTCCACTAGACTGTCAGCTCCTTGAAGGGCAGGGACTGTTTTCACTTTTATTGGTGGTGCCTAGAATAAAAAAGGCATTTAATAAAAGTTTTTGATTGATTGCAGTTCCCACCCAGCCTGGAAGGATGGAAATTGATAGGACTCTGTTGTTTAGGAAACCACTTAGGGAGTCAAAGGCATTGGCAAGGTCATTTGGGGTCACCCTTTGGGTGTGCATGTGTATTTTCTAAAGACTTCTCTCTTTTTCTTCCCAAGGTGGTCTCTTAAGGTGCAGTCTGATCCTGTAGATGTCTTTGTTGGTGAATCCAAGATCTGCAATCAAACTGGTAAACAAAACAAAACAAACAAAAAAAGCTTGTCTGCCTTTCTCTTCCCAGTCTGATTAATTTCAGTTCAATGAGAAACTTAATTTGGACTGAATGTGTCTGGAAGAGCTGCCAAATGTACATGAATCACCTAGGATAGATTAGATGATGCAATGTTGCACTGATGCTGGGTCAGACCCAGTAAAGCTATTATAACTTTTTGTTGGGATTGTTGTTTCTTAACAAAACAGCAAACAAATAAACAAACAAACTTATATTCCTTCAAAGGAAGATAATATAATAATAACATCAGTTATGATCTTGGCAAATTTTTTCTCTGGGCCTTAGTTTCTCCCTCCATAAAACAGGAGGGTGGCCCCAGATGATTGTTGCTAAGGGATTCTTCCAGTTCTGATATTCTGTGACCCTCAGATTTATGAATTATCATCAGTTCAATATGTCTTTGACAGCTTATGTCTTCTAAATTTTATAGATTTGTGTCTTAAATGTCTAATAGACATTTATTTCAGAACAGCTAAGTGAGTTGGATATTATGCAGAGGAGGAAACTGAGTCAGAAGTGAAGCAACTTTTACCCATGGTCACATCGAAAATGTTGAGCTAAGACTGACACTTAGGTCTCTCAACTTTCAAAACTAGTGCTCTCTCCACCCCAGTGATCATGTAGCTGTTAAACATCTTCGTCAGAACCTTTCAAAAAAAATTTTTCTCCCACTTAAGACAATTATCACTTTGTATCAAGTTCATGTATGGGGTACTAATGAACTCAGAACCTTTGAACAAATGAAATAATATTTGTAAATCACTTAGCACAGTGCCTGGCCCATAGCAGGCACTAAATAAATGCTTGTTTCTTTTCCCCTCGTAATATTTTAATAAGAAATTAAAGGCAAGAACTTCAAATTTTGTTTTATATGGAGGTGATTATTTAAATCTTTGGAGGGTCCTTTTTTGGCCTGTATCCTTAACTAAATTTCTTTCCTTATTTTTTGTACAAACTCTTGAACCACTCTCAGACCAAAACCAAAAAGCATTCTGAGACTAAAATCAAACAAAAATCCCACTATTCCAAGAAGTTAAATTATGTTAATTTTATTGAATGTGTTTTGTGAGCACTTCTATTTCATTCATTTTTAGGTACTGGTCTGATACGGAATTTCAATAAGAGTTAATCTATGGTGGATTCCACCCTGGACTAGACCTCAGATGCTGTAGCTTGCATTCAAGTCTGCACATCAATAATATTTCACTTTTTATGTTTCAGTTTGCTCACAACAGTACTGAGGGATAAACTGTGCCAGATATTTGTATTTTACAGGAGAGAAAACTGAGATGTAGGGAAGAAAAATGATTTGAAATCAATAGAATTAGCACTGAAAGGGATCTTAGAGGCCACTAATCCTACCTTCTCAGTTTACAAAGGAGGAAACTGAGGCCTGGAAAGGTTCCTTAACTGTCTCAAGACAACACATTTGCAGGATTTGAATCTGGGACATTTGACTCCAAATCCAGGGCACTGTCCACTTTGCCATACTACTTCAACAAGGTGACTTGCTCACGCTAACACAGCTAGTCAGAGGTAACTCTAATTACTCCAGTGGTCTTTCCACTATACCATACCTCCTTATGTCCCCCAATTTTATAACCACCCCTGAAACTCCAGTTCCTGAAAATGGTGTGAAAAAAGCAGAGTAATGGTCTGATTAATTTACATCTTTATACAAATATGTTAAGACTATAATTTTTATCATCACTCTTAACTTCTATACTGAGGATATAATTATTGTTCTACATTAAACTTCCTTACAATAAGACCTGTCTAAAAATAGAACAAATGACTTGCCTTGTTGAGTCACAAGTTTCCTGTCCCTGGAGCTGGTGAAGCAAAGATTTGATTACCACTTGTCTTGGGGTCTGAAAGGGTTCCCTTCCTAAGGCAGAGGGTTGAAGGAGATGATCTCTGAGGTCCCTTGGGGTTCCAAGAGTTTAAGATTTTATGTTTGAGGACTGAATTGGAAGTTAGGACGTGTGCACTCCAATGTCAGCTCTGACACAGGCCTGCTAAGGAATCTTGGACAAGTCACTTGCCTCATCCGTGTCTGTTTCCTTATCCGCATTAGGGAGGTGACAATCCCCACCTTAGGTTTTGTTGTTGTTGTTGTTAATTGTTTGTTTGTTTTTAAAGAGAATTGCTCCCATTGTAGCATGAGTGTCTCAAAAACAAAAGGTGAGAATGTGAGAGCCCTGCTGTTCTCTTCCCAAACTACATTTCCTACATGATAATGCAACTAAAAGAACTGTAGTAGACCCTCTTCTGTATGCCATATTTTAATAAGAAGCTTAACACTTGACACTTACTAGCCGTGTGACCCTGGGCAAGTCACTTGACCCCAATTGCCTAAAAAAAATAATAAAAAAATAAGAAGCTTGACAAACTGGAACATACAATTGAAATTAAGTACCTGCTGTGTGCAAGTATGGTGCTAGGCACTGAGGGTGATCCAAAGTTTAAGTAAAACATGGACCCTGCCCTCAAAAGAGTTTATAGTTGGAAAAGGCGATACGATACCAGAGCAGTAATAGACAATAGTACCTAAGTGTATTAGAGAGATACAAAACAAAGTGCTTTATGAAGATGGAGATGGCAAATTGCTTATAACCATGGAGGTTAGGGAAGATCTTCTGGAGGAGTTGGCATTTGAGTTGGGCTTTTAGCAAAGACAGCTAGTAGCATAGCCAAGATTTGACCCTACGGACTATGTATGATTCCAAATGGATTGCTCATTCTACTATGCTGTTCTATCTCCTGTGGTAGTGAGTTCCCTGTCACTGAAAGTCTTCAAGTAAAATCTAGATGCCCATTCATTTCTTGAGGATATTACTGAGGATAGGATTCTTGTTTTAACTAAGTATTAAAATCAATGCTCCAAAATTTCTTGCAGCTCTGAGGTTCTGGTACATATTTATGCTTTCCCCCTCCATCTTCTTGCCTTGAAACAATGCAGATACCTTGAAAGCATTCTCATTTGTAGGAACAGGGGTCACTAATGTCCCAGTATACATCCAAGAAGAGGAAAACATTTGTCAGGTTTGGGAAGGTATTTTCTGGCTTGTCAGAAGCCTCTGTTCTGTTATCTTAAGGCATTAATTTAGAAGATGGTCCTTTTTCTACAGTTACAGACACCTGCTTTGCCATAGTGGATCACTGTAGCCCAGTACCAGAGGAAATGAGTTTTGAGGATGGGGATCAGATCGAGATCCTAGGCATCCTTGTTCCCTGCCTGGGATGGTTTGTGGGGAGGCATTCTGTGACCGGCCAGGTCGGCTTTGTGAAGACCAGTCATATTCAAACACATACCCAAGCTTCCAGGTAAGTAGAGAAGTACACATCCTTCTTCAGGCTGTTGCCATACTCCCTTGTCCAGTGATGGACAGTAGTTTGCTACGACCCAGACTTATGATTGTTGTTTAGACTGAAATATCAACTGAGAGATGGCCTAGCCATAGATTGCCTGAGAGAGATTAATTTGGAATCATAAGATTTAGAGCTAAAAGGGACTAGAGATTATCTCTGATAGTCAGCATGGTATGGTACAGATAAAAAAAAAGCTGCATCTACAGTCAGAAATTCCTGGGTTCAGATCTCACCTGTGATACCTATTGGTCATATGAATTAATCTTTCTATGCCTCAGTCTCCTCATCTGTAATATGGAGAGAATAACGCCTGTTGTATTTAATTCAGAAGTTTGTTATGAGGATTAAATAAAATAATGCAGATGAAGAGCTTTGCAAACAGTAGAGCACTTTGGAAAAGACAGGTACTCTTGTAATTGTTATCATTATTATTACTTAGTTCAACACCACATTTTGCAGAAAAGAAAACTCAGAAGAGATCAGAAATAGCCAAGTGACCTGTCCAAAGTCACAGCTAGTAAGTGGCCAAATTTGCTCCCAAGCTCAGGTCTTTTGGCCCCAATTCAAGCAATCTATCCTGCACCCATGTCTCTTCACAGCTGGGGCCATCCATCCACTTATACAAGTATTTATGAAACATTCAACTGTACTTTAGTTTCTTTGATCATGCAGACATACAGGTTGTGGAATCTTCATTGCTCAAGACCTTGGCTAGCTCACAGCTTGGCTCTCCATTCAAAACTTCCCCAGGGACACCCAGTCCCAGACTTACCTACCAGGAAGCTACCCAAGAGCCCCATATCCCAGAGGAGCGCTGTTCTACTTTCATAAGACCTCACCAAGCTCTCTTATTCTCTCTACTTTCAAAGAGTTTCTATATTTGCAGTATGATGGGCCATGTAGATGCTGGCTCTCCTTTAAAAAAAAAAAAAAGAAAAAAAAACCTGGCCTTAGTGGAAAAGGGGTTTATGCCTTTATCAGGGGTACTGTCAGTAGATGCTGCCCTCTTGCACCCAAATCTTAGCTGCTTTGCCTTTCATATTATAGTAATATGGACATATTTTCATTGAATTAAAAGTGTCAGATTTTCCTCTGACTTTTAAGTGGTTTAGCCATGGTTCCAAAGTTAAAGGTCTTGTATTGTACTTTAAACTTTAGGACCTTGAGCCCCCAAAGAACCTTAGAAATGGGATTTTGTTGTGTGGAAATAAAATTTCAAGAAAAATGAGACATGTTAGTTACTTGGAATAAAATTAATGCAGTATATGTCCTAATTTGTAGGTTAGCAAATGCAATCTTTCTGGATGAGGAGGAAGGGTCATTTTTCATCAACAAAAAGAATTTTTCAGAAGATGATGTGATCCGGTTATTAAGGAAAACAGCCACTTCTACTGTTTGTACAGCATATAGTATGGGTAAGCATATCATCTGTGTGGTGTCCTTCTTACAGCACATCCCAGGGAAAGTTCTAGGGTATAGGGCTGTATAGCCATCACCACTTTCATAAATGGGTCCCATATGACTCAGCTTAGTAATGAATGTAAGATGTATCAAATGTTCACAAGCCAACTCACTCCCCAGACACCATGCAAAAGCTCTTAGACCTCATTGGATCTCTCACGACAACTTATGAGGCAAATAGGCCAGGTCTGGTTATTCTCATTATCCCATTTGTCAGACAAGGCAACCAAGAAATTAAGAGTCATACAGTGGAAGTGATTTAGTTAATGGCACACAGCTTGTAAGTGGTACTTGAAACCAGGTCTTCTTACTCAATTTTTTTTTTCTTTTCAGCTTTATCTGACTCCATTTCTAATGCTCTTTCCACTATAGCCCTGCTGCTAAGTCATTTCTTTTTTTTTTTCCACTTCTATTCAGACACATTAGAAGAAATTGAATTTCAGAAATCCCGAGAACAAGGTATGACCTTTGAAATGGTGCTACTAAATGTGTTCACACTAGACCAAGGTGGGGATGCAGATGTTCACTCAAGGAAATTGGGCTGTTGTGTTTGATTCTACAGTTAGGTCCCAATTAGTGTGAATAATGTTCCTCTGAAGTGGTCACATGTCATTGAATTTACACTATTCAATGTTATAATTTATGTAAAATGTGGTCATTGGTTCCACCACAATGGACATAGGTGGTGTGAATTTAAAGAATGCCATCTCTTCAGAGGGAATTCTTTATTTGAAACAATTGAGACCTCGCTGTACATAGAGCATAATGTGGTGCTTAGCACATAATAAACAATTAATAAATGCTTTTTTTATTCATTCAATCAGTCAGTCATATATCAATCCATCAATCAATCAATAAACATTTCTCAAGTGGCCACTATATGCCAGGCATTCTGCTAAACACTGCGAGTACAAAAGGAGACAAAAGACAGTCCCTGGAGGAAACAACTTGCAAACCAACATTTGCAAAGCAAGCAATATACAAGATAAGGGGGAAACAATTAACAGAGGAAAGCACTAGGGTTACAGGGTTTCCATTAAGATTTCCATTAAGAAATGGGATTTTAGACACATAATACTTAGTAGCTGTGGAACCCTGGGCAAGTCACTTAACCCCTTTGCCTAGCCCCACCCCCCCCCCCAAAATGGGATTTTAGTTCGGACTTAAAGGGCAGTTGTCAGAGTGGAGGGGGTAGAGTGGTCCAGGCTTGGGGGACAGCCAGAAAACATGCCTGGAACCGAGAATCATAGAATTTCTAGCCAGAAAATATCTCCAGGGATCCTCCAGTCCAGCAAATATAGTAGCATTTTAAATATGAGGAAAAGAAACTTAGATAACTGACATGCCATATGCAGTCACATAAGTACTCATATACCTCAGATATGGAAGAGGGATTCAGTTCATTTTGTTTTTGCTTCAGAGGGCAGAATCTGAAGCAATGGATGGAAATCACAGGGAAGAAGGTTTCATCTCAGTAGGAAAAAAAATGTTCTAACCAATCAGAGCTCTCTGAGCATGGATTCGACTACTTGGGGAGATAGGGAACTCATCCTCACTAGAAGGGTTCAAACAACCTTTCAAGTTAAAGAGAACTCTTTCATCAAGGATGGAAAATGGATGAGTAGAGTTTGACTAGGTGACCTCAAAGGTTTCTTCCAGTTCGGAGATTTTGTTGACATTCTTCTGATTCTGAAAAAGAACTTGGGACACTAATAGCTCCTCCTTAGAAATGGGCCAAACTCCTTGTGCTGTCCCAAAGGTGGTGCTGGAAAATCCCCACTTCAGGCTGAGCTATGATTGTTTTCCTTTGGTGTGTTATTTGGTGGTTGACACTCTCTAGGTTCAACTTGTTTGAAAAAAAGTTCAATTTGCCTCGAGAATGTGTTGAACACTGAAAAGAAACATAGAATCAAGGTAAAAGCAAGATTCTCTTTTCCTTACCTCAGGGGAATCTGAGTTTGGTTCTAAGGAAATTTTTAAATCACAGGATTTAAATCTTTTTTTTTATTAATTTTTTTGACTTATCAATAATCACTTCCGTATGCTTTTGAGTTTAAAATTTTTCTCACCCTTCCTCCCCACCACCCTCCCCAAGATGGCACACAATCTGATATAAGCTATACATTTACATTCATATTAAACATATTTTCACAGTAGTGATGTAAGTAGAAATTAAAATCAATAGGAGGAACCATCAGAAAGAGGAAACAAAACTCAACAGAAGAGAAAAAAAAATAACAATTCAGCTTCCATAGTTCTTTCTTTGGGTGCAGATAGTATTTTCCATCACAAGGCCTCTGGAGATATCTTAGATTCTTGTATTGCCGGGAAGGGTTAAGTTTATCAATATTAGTCATCACACAATGTGGCTGTTACTGTGTACAACATTCTCTCAGTTCTGCTCACTACACTCAGCATCAGACCATACAAGTCTTTCCAGGTTTTTCTGAAGTCCGCCTGTTCATCATTTCTTATAGCACAATAATATTCCATCACATTTATATACCACGACTTGCTCAGCCTTTCCCCAATGGATGGGCATCCTCTCAATTTCATAGGATTTAAATCTTGAAGGGGTCCATCTAAAACCATCTGGTTTAGATGCTTTTCCTCCCCTGCTTAGAGTTCAGACTATGTTGTTGGAGGAAATGAGAAAATGGGATGATATTTCTTTAAGGTGTAAAGTTCTGCATGTTGCAAAATTCCTTTTGGCAAGAGATGAAACAGTGAATTCCTTGGATATCAAAATGCTTAGAGGAAAACATGCAAAGCACAAAGCTTGGCAGCTGTTTCCTGGCTGTCAGAGGTGGCCACATCTTGATGAGTTAATCTAATAAAGAAAAGCAGTTTCAAACTTGGCTGCTCAACAATGTTTTGTACTTTTATCCCAAATCTATAGAGATCACTGAAGAGACAGCTTGTTTTGAACATTTTTCCCCCTTTGTAGAACTAAGGCAGACAAATCTGTTTCTGGTCTTTATTCTTCCCCTCAAAACACTTTCCTCTTTAATCCGATGTCTTCTTATTTGATTGATATTGGGGGAGGGTGTGCATTTATTAAGTACCTGCTGTTTACAGAACACTTTGCTAGTTGCAGAAAAGATAAAAGTCTAGGTAAGATAAGGCTGCTGGAGCTCAGGGTCTAGTATTAGTGTAAGTCCCAGATATAGATCACCATTCCTCACCTATATTACATTTTAAGTACCTTATCAAGGTGCTCTTCAAGTGCTATGTGAGGTATAATAGAGAAACTATTAATCACTTGAGAGAATTGGGAAAGGCTTCATGGAGGAGTTGACCTTTAAAGGAAATAGAACTCATTAAGCAAAGAGGAAAAGAGGACATGCCAAGCAGAGAGGACATCTCAAGTAGAGGCATGGAACCAAGAGGACTTGAGGGGGGGACCAGACAACAGAGAAGTCTGGTTTGGTGAAAGAAGTGTGGTTTATCAAAAAGACAAAGAGGTACCAGGCTGTGCCACCCCCTCGATACCCGCAGATTTGGCACTTTACCTAGTAGGGAATAGGGAGTCATGGGAGATTTTTTTGAGAAGAAATGTGACAAAAAAAAAAATGTAGAATACTAATCTACTACTGAGTGTGGCTTGGGCCAAAAGCTGTCTTTCCATCAAACACTGAACTTGTACTACTTTCCAGTCTGTCCCTAGCTTAGCAAAGCAGATTTATTGTTCTTCTCTTATTAAATCTGTGAGGTATCTCTCCTCAAAATGAGACCATTTTAAACAAACAAGAAGCAACTTCTAGCATCTTCAGTTTTTGTAGTGAATAGAGTGTTGTATCCAGAGTTGGAAAAAAGTGAGTTTGAAACCTGCCTCAGACATTTATCAGCTCTGTGCCTCAGTTTCCTCATCTGTAATAATAGCTAGCATTTCTCTTGCACTTTAAGGTTTGCAAATGCTTTCTGTGTGTTATCCTATTTTATCCAACAACCCTGGGAGATAGGTGCTATTGTTACATTCAATTTACAAATGAGGAAACTGAGACACAGAGAGGTTAAGTGGCTTGCTGAGGGTCACACAGCTAGTAAGTGCCTAAATCAGGATTCAAACTCAGGTCTTCCCAATTCCAACTTCAGCACCCTCTCTATTATACCACCTAGCTTCTGTAGAGATAATAAAAGTATTTATCTCCAGTTGTTGTGAGAATCCAATGAGAGAATATTTGCAAACCTTCAATTGCCATATCAATGTGAAGTGTTTTCCACATGGTAACCCTCTTCTACTTTGCAGAAGTGCCTCAGCCTCCACTCGGTTCTGACCCAAGTCCAGTGACTGACAAGGTGAGAGTCATCTTAGAGAGGTACAAGACCCTCCAGCCCTGCCCTCATGAGCCAGAGAGCCGGGGAGGGGATGATGATCAGCCATCAGCCCCGGAGAGCCTGCCCATGCCTGAGGAACCCCACTTTGGCCTCGAGAGGGAAGGAAGCGACAATAGCCCAGAAAGATTTCTCCTCTTGATACTGTTCCTAAATGAGGACGAATACAAGCCGTGCTACAGGAGCCTGTATGATGTCTCTCTTCCATGTCTGAACACCATGTTTGGTGGATATACTGAGGAGGAAGAACTTGTCTGTTACTTTGGGCAGGCGAGGGTAGCTGCCAAGAAGGCCAACCTTCCCATGGCCCTGACAAGACTGTGCTTTCTCCTTGGAAGGCTATGTGTCAAAAAACTCAAGCTCTCCCAGGCTAGGGTTTATTTTGAAGAAGCCTTGGGAGCCCTGAGAGGCAGCTTCAGTGACCTTTTCCTCGTGGTGGCTATTTACACCAATCTCACTGCCATTTATTTGAAACAGAAAAACAGAGAGAAATGCACACATGTGTTTGGCAAGGTAGCAGCTCTGCTCCTGGGAGTTCCCAGCTATATTTGCAGCACAGAGACAGAGGCCGATCTCCTCAAGTTTGCTTTGAAGATGATCATCTTGAGCCAGCAAAGCCAGCAGGCTGAAGCCAGAATCTGTTTCCTTCTGGCCAAGCATTATATTAGCTTCAAGCAGTCAGAAGAAGCCTTGCCCTTCCTGGAGAGGTTGCTGGTTTTGAATGGCGAACTGGGTTTATGGGACAGCTCATGGTCCACAGATTGTTACCTCCATCTTGGGGAGATCTACAGCAGAAAATGTCTGCCCCACCTCACGCTGAGCTGTATCAAAGTCGCCTCTTTCCAGAGCTCACGAACCTTCATGAGCTCCTTGGAGAGTGTTGACTTGGTCGTTCAGAACACCCCCAAGCTTTATGGTCTGAGGAAGGTGGACCATGTGCTTCCATCCCAAATCGCGCACTACCTCAAGCAAGCGCTGTCTTCTGCTGTGACTTCCCAGGAGCAAAAGCTCTGTGGTTCCATTTATCGTAGTCTTTCAGAACTCTATAGCTACCACAGGAAATATGAAGAGGCCATTGAGTATGGATGGAAAGCCGTGGAAGTTGACTCAGCCAGCATTGGCCAGGTCATTAACAACTTAGTTTCTTTTGCTTGGTTACACATTCTTCACAGGCAAAATTCAGTAGCACTGGGGATCTTAGAGGCCATCATAGAGTCCTCCAGAAGTAGCCCTCAGCAATTCGGGATTATTTACAACATGGCGGCCATTGCCCTGAAAAGGATGAACAGTACAAAGAGGGCAGCTGAGAGTTACTACAAAGCACTCCGTGTTTCCAAAGAGCTTGGCTCGGTGCAGAACCAGGCAGTTGTCTTGGCGAACTTTGGGGCTCTCTGTCTCCATATGAATGCCAGTGGTCTGGCTGAACACTATTTCATTGAAGCAGTAAAACTCTTCTCCCAACTTCCAAGTACCGTGTGTGGCCGAGAATTCGTCCAAGTTCTCCTCTGGCTGGGGCAGCATTATACCAGAGGAGCTCAACAGGAGAAAGGAAAGTGTTATTATGAGTGGGCATTCCTGGTGGCCATGGAAATGAGTCATTTTGAAAGTAAGTGTTTGCTCCATCTCCCCCCAGGGCACCCACTCAGAGTCAGAATAGATTTGTCTTTTTGCTAGTTTGGGACAGTTATTTTGGACTGGTAGACAATTGCCCCTGGTGTTGAATAGTCTAAGTGTAAGTATGGAGGGAGTAATGGTAGAGGGCACAGGATTTAGAGTCAAAGGACCTGAGTTCAAATCCTAGTTCTGTCACTTACTACTTAAGTGACCTTGGGCAAGTCACTTTACCCGCATGAATCTCAGTCTTATCTGTAAAATGAGGAAGACTGGCTAGTCTTTGAGGTCCTTCCATCTCTAAATATATGACGCTTCTAAAATAGGTCAGGACCAAACAAAGCAACAATAAACAAGAGAAACGCTTTTGTTCTACCCTGTTTTGGGCCTGCCTGAAGTTCTACCACATTTGGCTTCCCCTTCCTCATCCCTTCCCTTCCCTCCCCCCTCCTCTTCTCTTCTCTTTCTTTTCCTTTCCTCCCCTCCCCTTCCTTTTCCTTTCCCTTCCTTCCCTTCCTTTTCCCTTTCCTTTCCTATTTCCTTTCCTCTTTTCCCCTTTTCTTTTTCCTTCCCTTTACCCTTCCTTTCCCCTTTCCTTCCTTTCCCCTTCCCCTTTCCTCCTCTTCCATTCCCCTTTCCCTTTCCTTCCTTTCCTTTCCTTTCCTCTTCCTTCCCTTTCTTATCATTTCCTTTATTTACTTTCCTTTTCCTTCTTTTTTCAACTTTTCCTTTTCTTTTGCTATCCTTTAATTTCCTATCTTTTCTTTCTTTTTCTTTGATATAGTTGGGTGATGCCATTATAATAGTGGAGTGGGAAGGCATGGAGTGACCGTCATAATTATGATTCATGGGATACAAGTAGAAATCACAATTATGAAAGAGTGAAAGGCTCATGTCCCAGCATGCTGAGACTGAAAGGTCAGTGACAATACTAGAAGACCTTCAGCATCCAAGAAACCTCAGGCTTCCTTCTCCCAACTTTCACCCCTCACTAGCCACAGTAGGGCTTTCCTTTTGAATGCCCTTTGCCTTAAGCACAAAAACTCTCTGCTTCAAGTCTGGGTACAAAACTATAGAAGGTCAAAGCTAGGAGGGACCTTGGAACATGAGATCATCAGAGTTAAAAACAGACCTTAGGAGATAATCAGGCAACTCTGGGAGCCTCTAGAATTAATTCCAGGGCTCTAGGACTTCCTTGGACCCATTTTCCAAACCCACCTCAAATTCATGAAATATGCTTATTTTCCTTATGAAACTTTTAATGAATGTTGACTGAAAATGTCCTACCTCAAAGGAATCATTTTGCCATTATTTATCCAGTAGGCTTCACATCTCTGAACCTCAGTTTCTTTGTCTCTCAAAAAGGTATAGTGATACTTGTATATACAGTCCCCCCCAAGGCTGCTACAAGGAAAAGTATTTTTAAACTGCAAGGTCAATTCAATTCAATCACCATTGTAAAGTGCAGAAGAAATATGCCTTGCCATTGTTATGTCCTGTGGGGTTTTTTTCCCTCACACCACCCTATTTGTTACAGACCATTTTTTATTTCTGGTCATAACTCCTGAACTGTAATCATACCCTGTGGCTATAGAAGGGCTGCGTCATGCTTTGCTCTTCCCTATTTCTTTCTTTCCTTCTTTATTATTGACTTTCCCAGGCCAGCTCCAAGCAATCCAGTTGCTGTGTCATTTCTATAGCACCATCATGCCAAATGAGGCCCAGTGTGTCATCTACAATGAATATCAACTCTCCTTGGCCAGGAGGATGTCAGACAAAGTTCTCGAAGGGCAGCTGCTGGAAACCATCAGTCAGCTGTATCTTTCTTTAGGTACAGAAAGGTGAGAAGCATTAAATAGGCTGAATGATTTAGGAGCTCACTGGTGTGGCTCCATGGTTTTGCATTTGCAATTGGTCACATGGTAAAGGAGCCGTTGTTCCCTAGGATGTCAGTATTGGAAGAGACCATAAAATAAAGAACATTAGAACTAAAATCAGGCAGCTCAGATAGAGCACTGGGCCTGAAGTCAGGAGGACCTGAGTTTAAATCTGGCCTCAGACACTTACTAGCAGGGTGACCCTGGGCAAGTCACTTAACCCTGTTTGCCTCAGTTTCCTCATCTATAAAATGAGCTGGAGAAGGAAATGGCAAACTACTTTAGTATCTCTGCCAAGAAAACCCCAAATGGAGTCACAAAAGGTCAGACATGCCTGAAAAATGACTGAAAAGAACTAAACAGGCCCTTAGAGACTATCTGGTCCAACTCCCTAATTTTTCAGAAAGAATTTGAGGCCCTTAGGGAGGAACTGAGTTGCCTGACACTGAAAGTCAGATGCCGAGCCAAGATTTTGAGCCCATGTCTCTTAACTCCCACTCCTGTGGAGTTTTGCTCTTAAGGTCAGACTTACTTACCTTGATAATTTTTCACTGGACTTATAAGTATACCATTGTATCTTGTACCATTTTAGTTGTACTATTTACCAAAAAAATTAAATTCTAAACTGAAACATCAAATAAAGTATTCTATATATGTAATAGAACAGAAAAGCATGATTGTACATAACCCTGCAGATGCCTATTACATATAGCTGCATTGAAATGAAGAACTCAAAGCAGTTAGATGGTGAAATAGAGTGCCAGGCTTGGAGTCAGGAAGACCAGAGTTTAAATCAGACCTTGGGCTAGCTGAGTGACCCTGGGCAAGTCACTTAACCTCTGTTTGCCTCAGTTTCCACATCTTTAAAATGGAAATAATAAGGGCATCTACTTCCAAAGATTGTTATGAGGATCAATGGAGATAGCTTATATAAAACCCTTTGAAAACTTAAAGTTATAAATCTATATAAATGTGGAGGGTATTTAGCACATACTTCCTAAGATGGAAGCACCTATTTAGAGATTCCTTCGGGGAAACGAGAGCACTGGCATCTCCACTTGGGCATCTCCATCTTAGGTGATCTGGGCACTTGCCAAACATCCACTGCATAAATACTCGTTATTACTGCCCAAGATTATACAGCTTAGTAAGTGGCAGTGCCTAACTTTGGACCCATATCCCCTAATGTTCTTTTCACTCTACTAGGCTGGTCATCTCTGATGCAAGATAATGTAAATAAAGTACTTTGCAACTATAACATTCTCTCTCAATGTGAACCCTACTTGTTTCTTTAACGCAGTCTTTTCTACTCTCCCGAATTAAAGTCTTTTCCTACAACAGATGAATCGTGAGCCCTAATGTGGGAGACCACTTGACACAGGGATTTGGGCTGTTGCTCCTCACAATATACTTAGCAGAAAGAAACTTTACCCGAGAATTTAATTCCTGGCAGTGTGGGGTAGTGAATGAGGAAAGAAATAATGCAGAATGCAAGAAAATCTATTCATTTTCCTGAAGGCTCATTAAGGAAAAGCTCACAATATATCTGATATATCACAATATAACCTATGGCAAAAGATAGCCTATGATAAGAAGAGCACTGGATTTGTAGTTAAAGGATTTGAGTTCAAATTCCAACTTTATCACTTATTTGATGTATGTTTAATTGTTATTGTTGTTGTTTAATTGTTTTTCAGTCACGTCTGACTTTTCATGAGCTTTTTTTTTTGGGAGAGGGGTTTCTTGGCAAAGATCCTGGAGTGGTTTGCCATTTCCTTCTCCAGCTTATTTTACAGATGAGGAAACTGAGGCAAATAGGATTGAGTGATTTACCCAGGGTCACACAGCTAGTAGGTGTCTGTGGCTGGATTAGAACTCATGAAGATGAGTCTTCCTGACTCCAGGCCCTATGGTCTATCCTCTGTGCCACCTAGTTGTCTTTTGATGTATGACCTTGGGCAAGTCACTTCTCCTCTCTGTGTGACTCTGTTTATATCTATATAAAATGAGGGGTGGGACTAGATAATTTCCAAGTTCCCTTCTCACTCTGAAATCCTATTCTAAAATGTAATGAGTGAAAAGTAGTTTATGACTTGGATCTCTATTATAATATTAATTTTTTTTCAGAGCTTACAAGTCAGCCCTTGAATATACTAAGAGAAGTCTTGGAATATTTATAGACCTTCAGAAGAAAGAAAAAGAGGCATATGCTTGGCTCCAGGCAGGAAAGATCTATTACATTCTGAGACAGACTGAATTAGTAGATCTATACATTCAGGTGGGTTGAATTTATGAGTGATTACTGAAGTTAAGTTTAAGTATGCTATGTTGGCGGTGCATAAAGCAAGTTGATACTAATGCTAATGCTACTAATGATAGCATTTATATAGCTCTTTAAGCAAAGTACTTTACAAATACCTCATTTTATTTTCACAACAACCCTATAAGGTAGTTATTGTTATTATCATCACCATTTTCAGATGAGGATACTGAGGCTGAGAGAGGTTAAGTGACTTACTAACAGTCACACAGCTAGTATCTGAGGGTGGATTTGAACTCAGGTCTTCCTGTCTCCCTATCCAGCATTCTATCCACGGTGACACCTAGATGCCTACATTGTGCACCGGGGAGACCATTGAAGGTTATCTTATTAAAGATTAGCTCACAGACTTGCTTGCAGTTCTTTCTCTATTCCTGAACCCCACTAGATTATGAGTGTCTAAGGGGAGGTGACTGTACTCTACTCATTTTTGTCTCCCCAGTGCCTAAGTCAGAGGAACGTGCAGTAATGGAATCAGTAGTGAATCTGGAGTCAAAGGACCTAGGTTTGAATCCTAGTTCTGTTGCTTGCTACCTGTGCGACTTTGTACAAGTCACTTCAGTTCCCCAGGTCTTGGTTTCCTATTGTTCCTGGTATACAATAAGCACTTAATAAATGCCTGTTGATTAACAGTCTCAGAAAACAAAAGCATTGGACACGATGGTCTCACAAAGTCCTTCCCTGCTCTAAATTGTATGAGCAGACGGTTAGGCAGACAATGGTGCTCTATAAATTTTTGTCAAACTAAATTCATTTAGGATATGATAGTATATTAAGATAACATTTTTTAAAATCACCATTTTTATGTCTTTAAGGCTGTATTTTCACAAAAAAGCCCACCCTTCTATCAAGGTTCAACTTAGGGCCCACTTTCCCCAGGAAGCCTATACCAAAACCCCAAGGTAGGTCAGAGCAGATTTGCCAAGTGGAGTTCCAGCTCCCATATACCAAAGGTTTTCTCTGCTGTGGAAATGGTTTGAAACACATAGTAGTATAGAAGAGCATCTCTTGAATTGGAAAACACTTCAGAGTTTGCCAAGTCTGTGACCTACCCAAATCTCCAGGGTCATGGAAAATATGGTTTCAAGATGGGGAACAAGACTGCTCCCTACCACAGCCCATTTCACTACTGAAAAGTTCCTCTTCCCATTATCAACTTGAAATCCCTCTGCCTATATAACTTCTATCCATTCATCTTCCTTCTTCTCTAAAAGGTCAGGCAGGACTTCTAGTGCCTCTTCTATACAACAACTCTTCAAAAAATTAGAAGGTAAACCTACCCCTTGCTTCCATCTCCCCAAACAAGTCTTTTCATCTCCAGCCCAAAGATTCCTAATTTTCTCTGTTGATCCTTAAAGGACATGGCTTCCAGTTCTCTTTTCATCTTCTAGATGCTTTCCAGATTATTATTTCCCAAACTGAATCCAGTGCTCTAGATGTGGTCTGATGAGGGCAGAGGACTATGTGGCTAAAATTTCCCTTATCCTCAGTTTAATGCTTTGAAGTCAGACTGGATTTATGGTTCTTTCTTTCTGGGCCTCTCTGTCCTTAAGTATATACAATGGTATAGTTCTGTAATCAAGAGACCTTGAGTTTGAATCTCAGCAGTGCTGCTCGCTTTGTGACTTTGGGCATGTCATTTAGCCTTTGTGCCCAGCACATAGTAGGCACTTAATACATGTTTATGGATTGATTAATTCTCTGTGCTTCAGTTTTCACACCTGTAAAATGAGAAGAATATGATTTCTATTATATGCCTTGAGGCACTGTAGACAGGATCAAATAGGATTACACATATAAAGCACTTTAGGATTACAAAACACTGTGATGTAGATACCTGTATGTTATTGATATTTTTTTCTCTTCTTTTTAGACCTTAGAATCATTCATTGTGTCTTCTAGTCTCTCTTATTTTGATACCCACTTTTAGTATTTTTCCCCCTGATCTTAATTTCTCTTTCCCCTTGCTTTCAGTCTTGGGTTTTAGTTATGGAAAGAACTTTGTAAACTAGATCACGTTTAAGCTGTGGTAGCAACCTTAATAGTATCATCATCTTTTGTTAGGCCCCTGTCCATTACACCGCCACAACAGGCTTTCCAAAGGGCTACCTAATTGTGCCCAGATTTTAAAATAGGGTTAGATTGAAGCAAGGTGACCTGGGTTCAGATCCTGGCTCTGCTATTTGCTACCTGTGTCATCTCACCTAAGTCACATGAATTCTTTGAGCCCCACTTTCCTGTCCTGTAAACTGGGAATAATCATGTTTACATGGCTTACACCACAGGGCTACTGTGTATAAAGCACATTACTGTACTCAGGAAATGGGAGGTAACTACAGTAGTCAAAGAGATTATATTCTCCTATTACTTTTTGACCACCAGAAGGAGGTTATGACTAAAATAAGAGCGATTTTTTCCTATGATGTGCATGTGGGTACTGAGTTTGGTGTGGGGGTGGGGGGAGGTGGTAGGGGTGAGGGTGGGGCAGGGGTCTATGGCTTGTAAAATTGGAGGGAGGAAGGAAACAGGCCTCCATGTGTGATCACAGAAAACGGCTACTTCTGAAACCAAATTGACCATTAATAGGCTTGGAAATGGGCCCCTTGGGTTGGGGATTTATGACTCTGACAAGCTGGGAATCATCAAAAGGCTCCTTGTTCTCCATAGGTAGCTCAAGATGCTGCCCTCTACACTGGAGATCCCAGCCTGGGCTTGGAAATGTTTGAAGCTGCTGGAGACATATTCTTCAATGGTTCTTGGGAGAGAGAAAAGGCAGTGTCTTTCTACAGGGTGAGTGGGTGCTAGTACTCTTGGAAGGCTAAGAGGACTGAAAAATAGGGGTGTGAGCCAGACCTCCAGTGGCTTTTGTTGGATCCAGGAATGAACCCGAGTATCTAAACTCCCTTTGACCTTGACCAGGGCTACAAGTGAGCAAGGAATTGTTTTCTGTTGATGCTACTATTCTCCCATCCTTGTAAACCCCTTAGAACAGGGCCTGTCTTGTTCTGCCCCAGCGTCATCTTTGACTTTCTCTTTTCTCTTCTTTGTCCCCCCTCTTCTGCCCTCTATTCCAGTTTATTCTTCAGTAAAATGAGGGAGTTGGACTAGATGAACTCAAAGGTTTTTTCTAGCTCTAAATCCAGAAACCTTTGATCCTTCTTCCCCCTCACTCCCGCCTCCCCTTTGCCCTTTTCCAGCCATCTCTCCAATACCACCCAAGGCCTATTGGCTGCCTAAATCCTAGAGTCCAACCTGGTAAGATTCCTAGCATTCTTTATCTCTTCTCCACCCCCTCTGCTAAAGGCACTCAGTATTATCTGCTTGGATTTTTTTTTTTTAATCTCCTAGTGTTTTTTCTTGCCTCTAGGCTATGTGGTATTGTGGATAGACTTCTTGATTTGAAGTCTGGATAAATCTGGGATTGAAACTCATCTCTGGCATTTTAGTTGCTGTGCAACCAAGAGTAAGACTTTTAACCTCTCTGAGTCTTATTTTCCTCAACTATAAAATGGGGATCATAATACACATAGGTATTTTGGTAGTGTGTATGTATACACTTACATATACACATTCCTATGCACATATATATATATTATGTACATCTTTGCATATATACAGACCACCATAATACATACACACATATACATAGACATGTATATATATGTACATATATATGTATATATATGTACATATATATGTGAGGGTTGTGTATGTATGTATATAGGAATGCATATACCCATATACATATGTTTGTGCATATGTAAGAATTAATATTTATATAGTGCTTACTATGTGCCAGGCACTGTGCTAAGCACTTTATAAGTATTATCTCATTCAATCTTTTCAACAATCTTGGGAAGTGGGTGCTATTATTATCCCCATTTTACAGCTGAGGAAACTGAGGCAAACAGAAGTTAAATGTCATGCTCAGAATCACACAGCTAGTAGGTGTCTGAGACCTCATTTGAACTCAGATCTTCCTGCCTCCAGACCCAGTGCTCTATCCTCTGTGCCACCTAAATGTTCACACACACACACACACACACACACACACACACACACACACACATTCCTCACCAGATTGTTGTGAAGATCAAATGAAATAATACATGGAACACTTTTTTTTTTTAGCACTTTAAAGCAGTATCTTTCTGTCTAGTGTAGCTTATGCAGGCTACCAAACTATTCTTACTAATGCACAAATCTCACTGTCACTTCTCTCCTTAGAAACCTTTTAGGCTCCTCATTCAGTACAGAATCAAATACAGACTTCTTATATTAGCATTCAAGGCCCTCCATATTCTGCCTCAAAAAGACCAGTTATGTTTTATCTTATATTACTCTTTTTTGTATGATAATTAGTTGTAGAACTCCAGGCCCTGGGCTTTCGTGGGCTGTATTCAATCTTGGTCACCTCTCAAAAATCACTGTCTTTGGCTCATTTTTCCCTTACCCAGAGTTCCCTCTGGGAAATTTCAGAATGTAAATTCAATATAGCTGTTGTCTAGGTTTCTCTTGATATGGGTTAAAAAAAAAAATTCCTACTTCTATGTGAGCACTCAAGCTAACAGTGCAGAGATGAGTTTACCCCCAGGAAGTTCAGAAACCAGATACACCAAAGGGCTCATAGTAATCCATAAACAGTCATTATAATTCTTTTACATGAGTCCCACCTTTGCAGCCAGGAGCAGTCTTTGAGTGTCATAGTTCTAGTCTATGGTTTGAGCTACCCTCAGAAAAGAAACAAATGGAATAACTAGAGTGGCAGCCCCCCAGGATGTTGGCCCATTATGTTTTCACCCAAGAAGATGACACAGACTTATGATCTTACCCTAAGGGTTTTGGACTCTTCCAAAAGGCAAACATAATTGAGGTTGCTCAATGAGCAACTCCCTGACATTGTGATAAGTCCCCCCCTTTTTTCCACAAAGTGGAACTTTCTGGTACTGCCCAAAGGACTTGGATTCCTCCAGAAGGAAAACAAACTTGGGGATTATAGAGTGGCAGTCCATCAGATCTTCACTGTCCTCATCACTCATAGTAAGGACAGAGGCCTTGGCCTAGGTCTTTTGATCCCTCACATCACAGATTATTCCTTTGGCTTTCCTTTAACTTTGTGATGATACTCTTTTCCCCATGATACTCTCTTCCCTAAGTGGTTGACACCGCTCAAGAACTACCCCTTCCTTCACTAGGGTTAGATTCCAGGATTTTATTAGCCAAGAATTCTTTTAGTGTTTAGGAACTTTTCCCTCCTATAACCAGGGGACCAGAACTCTGAAGAACTCTGAGTCTAGAAACTATCCCATTGGGTTGTATAGTGGAGAGCACACTCACTTCCTGTGCTTCTGAAATTCCAAGTCAACCATTATTGGCCTCTGGGCAAAGGGAGAAGAGTGATGTTACTGTAGATATGCCCTGGTTTTCCTCCTCCGCGGTCCAGGTATACTCTTAGCTTTGCGGCTCTCTGGTCTATATTTAGCACTCTCTGAATCATATAGACAAGGCTGACCTTTTTTACAGTCCTAGAACAAAGGAGCAGCTGTGAACCTCAACAATCTAAGTCAACTAATTCATCCCCAATCAAATCCACAGTTGTCCAAGTCAGTCATTTCATCCACAATCAATAAGACTCAATTACTCATCCTCCCATATGCAAAGTACTATTCTAGGTACTGGCGGGAAAAAGACAGGAACTAAAATGGTCCTTGATCTCAAAGAACTTATGCTCTACTGAGAAGTATACAAGAAACTTCAGTGGCTCCATCTTGCCTCTAAGATAATATGAATATTATCAATGCAAATGCAAAGTAATGGAGAGGGAGAAGACAGCACTAAGATATGAGGGGTGGGGAAGATGTCAAGAAAAGCTTCATGCTGGACGTGGCATCTGCACATAACCTTGAAAGGAAAGTAGGGATTCCAAGAGATACGAGTGAGAAGGGAAATCATTGCAGGTATGGGGAGGGAGGGAGGGAGGGAGGGAGGACACAGCCTGTGCAAATATCTGGAGATAGGAGATAAAATGTGGAGTATAGGAAATAGGAAAGGAGTCCAACTTGTCTGGAATAAAGAGTACATGATGGTAAATAATGTGAAATGAGTCTGAAAAGCTAGGTTGGAACCAGACTGTAAAGTACTTTAAATGTCAAACAAAGGTGTTTGTATTTTATCTTAGAAGCATTAGGAAGCCACTGAAGCTTCTTGAGCAGAGAGGTGCCATGGTCAAACCTGTGTTGTAGAAAGGTTATGTTAGAAGTTGTGCAGAGGATAGACTAGAAAGGGGAGGAGAGGCTGGAAAAAGGGAGCCCAACTGGGAATCTAATTCACTAACCATGACAAAAAGGTATAGGATACGAATGAAGCTGATGATCACGTGAGAAATTAATAACAATAGCAACTAGCATTTATATAGCACTATGTGCTGGGCATCGTGCTAAGTGCTTTATAAATATTATCTTAGAGAGAAGGGTGCTGGTCTGAGACATACAGAGATGAAATTGGAAAGATTTGGCAACTCACTAGATACGTTAGAATGAAGGTGACTCCAGGGTTGAGAGCCTGGATGTTTGAAAGAAGCACTTGTTACAATTTTTCATTTATTGGTGGTTGGTGACTGTTTTTTCTAGGACCGGGCTCTTCCTCTTGCTATTAGGACTGGTAACAAGGAGACTGAACTCCGACTATGCAACAAGTTGGTGGAATTGCTGTACTTTCTCAAGTCCTACCAAGAGTGTCTAGAATTTGCACATACCTCCCTTGCCCTCAGCATAAACTTAGGTAAGCCTTGGACCTTAATGACCTTCTGTGAATGAGAAGATTACTCTCACTCAGTGTTCCTCGCCCACCTTTGCCAACCATCAGAATTATGGTGATGGTGAGTGGTAGTGACAATGTCGTTGGTGGGATGGGATGGAGAAGGGGAAAGGAAGGGGGATGAGGGAAGAGGGAAGGGAGGCATTTATTAAGTGCTTACTCTGTGTCAGGTACTGTGCTAATTAGCTTTATAGATATTATCTCATTTGCTCATTAGAAGGAGGAGGGCATCATCACCACGCTAACCACTGACATTTATATAGTGCTTTTAAAAGTTGGCAAAGTGCTTTAGATACACCATCTCATTTCACCCTTAGGATGAGCCTGCAAGAAGGGCAAAATAGGCATTCTTGTCCCCATTGTATGTATGAGGAAACTGAGGCTTATAAGAGTCAATCCACTGTCACGTTGTTAGGGGGTATCAAAAGTGAAATTTGAACCAAGGTCTTCCTGGCTTCAAGGCCCAGATTCTACCCACTAAAGGAGTCCTAAAACACAGAATACAGACTACTAGAAAGCAGGTGGTGCAATGGATAGCGTGTTGGACCTGAAGTCAGGAAAACATGAGTTTGAACCCTTTCTCAGACTATGAGCCCAGGCAAATCACTTAACGCATTCAGAAGAAGTAACACAAGGACACTCTCAAGGTCTCTCTGAAGAACTTTAGCATCAATTGTGAGACATGGGAGATGCTGGCATAGGACAGCCCATCATCAAAAAAGGTGCAGTGTTCTATGAGCAAAGCAGAATCATAGTATCACAAAGGAAATGTCAGATGCACAAATCTAGAGACATCTCCCTCCCAAATGTTCAAACAAACTCCTTGTGCCTGACCTGTTATAGAGCCTTCTGAGCTTGTACTGGACTAATCGGCAAACACACTATACCTTGGCCCCAAGACCATGATGTCATTGGTCCTCTTCCAGTATGAAGGACAGACAACAGCAATCTTAGTTTCCTCATCTATAAAATGAGGATAGTAATTGCTCCTATCTCCCAGGGTTGTTTTGAAGATGAAATTAGATAATATGAATAGTGTCTTGCAAACCTTAAAAGCACTATAACAACGCTCTCTATTATCATTACCAAAAGGCGTTTTAGAGGCTGTGTTCAAACTCCCTCCTTCACAGATAAGGAAACTCTTACTCAGCGACTTGTTTAAAAGATCACAAAGCTAGTTAATGATACAACTAGGAATTGAACCCAAGTTTCTTGATTAACTTCTGCCAGGTCTCTTTCTATCATACCGTAATTGTTCCTCCACCCCTCACAGCCAACTTTCCGAATATAATAAGTAAGCAGATATTGATAAAAGTGATTGGTGGCCACACGTCCTCTTGGGGCTTTGGTGACCTAGTGCATTTTTCTCTCTCTGGGTCCTTTGTTTCTGTGTGATGTGTGGGTTTCTTCAAGAAAAATATCCTCCCTACATTTGAAACCTGTATTTTATGGCAGCATGCTTGATCTAACTGATCCTCCCCCATCCCGTGTTGTCTCCCTCAGGAAGCCGGTTAAACGAGCGCGTGGCCTTCCATCGACTGGCTGTAGTCCACCACCGCCTGGGGCAGTCTGAGTTGGCTGAACACTTTTACCTCAAGGCACTATCTCTGTGCTCATCACCTCTGGAATTTGATGAAGAAACGTTGTATTATGTGAAGGTGTATCTGATCCTGGGGGACCTCATATTCTATGACCTAAAGGTACGGAGAGCAGACTGGGCCCCATGGGCTCTGGACAGACACAATTCCTGCTTATCAGCATTTTTAAAAACTGCTTTGGGCTGGATTGGGGGAAGAGAAGGAACTCCTGATTCAAAAGGGTATGAAGGTTCTTGTTATTAGCAACTCGGTGGCATGGTGCTAAATTTAGTACCCAGTCTGGCGTCAGTCCTCAGTTCAAATCCAGCCTTAAATGCCTATTATCTGGGTGACCCTGGATAATTCACTTAATCTATTTACTTCTATTTCCTCATCTGTAAAGTGGGGATGATAATAATAGCATTTACCTCCCAGGGTTGCTGTGAGCATCAAATGAGATAATATTTGTAAAGTGTTTAGCACAATGACTAGCACATAGTAGGGGAGCAGCTAGGTGGCTGACCTGGAGTCAGGAAAACCTGCTTTCAAATCTGGTCTCTGACACTTATAACTATGTGTCTATATGGCAAGGCACTTAACCCCTATTTGCCTCAGTTTACTCTATAAAAGAGGGATAATAATAGCACCTACCTCCCAGAGTTGTGGTGAGGATCAAATGAGATAATATTTACAATATTAGTACAGTGCATGGCATATAATAGGCACTATGTAAATAAATGTTAATTATAATAATTATCTTATAGCTGTTTATTATTAATTATTTAAATAAATTTGTTTTATTATTTATCATTATTATTATTGAACTATTTTCATTATTACTATTACTGTTGTTATTAACTTTAATTTTAAAAAAAACTTTGAATTAATAAGTTTTAAATGCTAATTAATATACAATGGACCATGCTAGCTTCTTGGGCTGAAGATTCAAAGATAAATTAGACAAAGTTTCTTCCCTTATAGTCTAGAATCCATCAATAGTGCATTTTTTAAGGCATTATTTTTCCAAGTCCTGTGCTAGACACTGGGGCTATAAAACCAAAAGTGAAATAGTCTTGTCCTCAAGGAGGTTAGATTCAAATTATGGAGATAACATCCATATAGAGGTACATAAAAAAGCAGATACAAGGTGATCTTGGAGGAGAAGGTCCCACTGGCAGCTGGGGAAAACAAGAAAGGTCCTGTGTGGAGGCCAGTCATGTGTAACAAGGATGAGAAGAATGGGGATGGAAGGAAAGAAGGATTGAGCCCAGGTTGTGAAGGACTTTAAATGCAAAACAGAGAAGTTTTATATTTGATCCTAGAGGTAATATGGCCCCACTGAGTTTACTGAGTATTGCTATGGTCAGATCTATACCTTAGGAAAGTTACATTGTCAATTGTGTGGAGGATGGATAGTGGCACAAAGATGCATGAAGCAGAGAGACCAATTAGATGACTATTTCAGTAGTCCAGGTGAGAGGTGATGAGGGCTGGTACTAGTGAAATGACTGGGGGAATGGAGAGAAGGGAGCATATAATATGGAGATAGAAATGATAAGGTTTGACAATTGATTAGATATCTAAAGTGAGTAAGAATGAGGAGTCAAGGATGACACTGTGGTTATGTACCTGGAAGAATGGAAAGATGGTGGTGCCCTTGACAGTAATATTGAAAATTCCAAAGAGAGGTGGGATGGGGGAAAAGTAGAATTATAAGATGTATTTACAGCAATATATAATACAACTTAGAATATGAACAGTGTATAAGAAAACTACAAAGTTCTAGAAGACCTTATGAGGAGAAGATCCATATCTTCAGATTGTAGGGTAAAGGGAGAATGAGATATATAAGGGAAGGCTTAATGGAAGAAGTGGCATTTCCCACTGAAAAAAAGCTGCATTTCATGGCAGCATAGGATTTATTGCTGAAAAAGCTTTAAACATCACTTGAAGTCCACTGCCTGAATTCATTTTACAGATGAGGAAGTGAGGCCCTGAGAAGGAAGGGAGTTGGTCCAAGTTGCAGAGCTAAAATATGAACCCAGGATTTCTGACTCCCATGTCTACTAGGGCTGGAATGGGTGAATTTTGCCTATAATGTCCTCCATACACCCCATCTTTCTCCCTCTGTATTGCCTGTCAGAAAGCTCCCGTGCCAAATATAACCCACCCATTGACCTGCTATTGTTCAGAGTACTTTGTACCTTATTCTGACCTATCCTTCTCAGGCAGCATCTTAACTTTCTAGTCCCAAGCGAGGAAATTCAGCTTTTTCCATCTTCTACCCAGTACTCTATCACCATCTCTCCACCCATCTTGTTTCCTCATTTCTCAGATTCTGGAGGACTTTAAATGCCAGGCTGAGGGGTTTGTATTTTGTCTTATAGACAATAGAAACCTACAAAGCATTTTGTGGATTTTTTGAGCAGGGTAGTAACATTATGAGACATGAAATAGAATACCAATTTGGTGGCTACTTGGAGAACAGATTGAAGTGGCAAGACCCTAGAAGTAGGGAGACTATTAGGAAGCTATTATAATAGTCCAAGAAAGAGATGATGAGGTCCTGGGCTACAGAGGTGATTGTATGAAGGAGAGAATGGATGTAAGAGATAGGCTGGTGGTAATATTAAAAAGACTTAGCAAATGATTAGATAGAGGGGATGAGGAGGAACTAAGTGCCTAGATTCTAGGATAATTCCAAGTTGGTGATTCTGGATAAATGGAAAGATACTAGTGCCCTCAACAGAAAAGGCAAGTTTGAAGAAGGGGTGGGTTTAAGGGACGATATAATAAGTTTCTTTTTTAATGTGTTACATTTGAGATCCCCATAGGACATCAAGGTTGAGATATCCAGCAGGCAGTTGGTAATATGAGATTGGAATGATTCAAGCTGGTTATGTAGATTTTGGAGTAATCTACATAGACAAGGAGCAGTTAGATAGTTCAGTGGATAGGGTGCTGGGCCTGGAGTCAAGAAGATCTGAGTTTAAATCCAGCCTCAGACCCTTACTAGCTATGGGATCCTGGGCGAGTCACTTAACATCTGTTTGCCTTAACCCACTGGAGAATGAAATGGCAAACCATTCCGGTATCTTTGCCAAGAAAACCCCATGGACCATACTGGTGGGCTATGGTCCATAGGTTCATGAAGAGTAGGACGGGACTGACAGACTGAACAACAACATAAAGAAGATATATGAATCCTTGAGAGATGATAAGTTGACCCAAAGAGAAAGGTGTAGAGAGAACAAAGAAGAAGAGCCAAGACTGACCCCATGCTTAGGAAGGGCAGGCCATTAATGATAATACAACAAAAGAGACTGAGGAATAGAACCAGAAGAGATCAGTAGCTCAGAAACTTAAGCACTAGAGAGCATACAAGAAGAGGGGATGCCAAAGTGTGTCTACTGCCACAGAGAGGTTGATTAATCATAATAAGTACAAGTTTCTGCATAGATTTTTAAGGTTTGCCAAGCACTTTACATACACCATTTCATTTATCAAATTGGATGACAACTTATTGGACTTATGAGGTGAGGAAAATGTCCACAATGACAGAGAGTTTGAGGCTGGATGACTGGGGGAATGTCACATCAATAGAACCAGGAAAGTTGGGAGGAAAATCAGGTTTGGAGAGGATGATAATGAATTCATAGGATCATAGTCTGAGTTGGAGATGGGAACTTAAAAGTCCAATCCCCTCATTTTTCAGTTGAGGAAACTGGACCACAGAGAGGATGAGTGACTTGCTTAAGGTCACACAGCTTTAGTTTTAAGCAGGTTGAGTTTGAGGTGCCAGTAGGTCTTCCAAGCAGTGATTTCCAGAAGTTCCTTACTTGGACATATGGGATTAGAGCTCAAAAACTCTCGGTGTAATCCTGAGCAAATCTCTTTCCTCTTATGTAGTCCGAGAGTGTTGAATTAGATGGCCCATCCTTCTCTGACTTTCCATGTTCAGAGGTCCTTTTACGTCTGACATACGATGCTGAAATCCCTGTATCATTTGCCTCTCAGAATTGGCTTTCTCAAGGATTACCCTGCCTGAGTGCACAGCGACAGCTAGTGACCAGAATCCATCACTGCAGCCTCTTGTGAATTTAATTGGAAAAGAGATTTTGGTATTTATTCGGTCTTAGGAGCATAGAATGGAAAAGCTAGAAGAAAACTTAGACCTCTAGCCAAATTCCCTTTACTTTATAGAGGAAGTGACTTGATGTAAAGAGCTTTGCAGACCTTGAAGCCCCATATAAATTTGAGTTCCACCATTTTCTTGTTATCTGTTATTATTGCCCCAGACCATAAAGTGAGTTATTCCTTCAATAAGTGTTTATTACATTCTGTGCTTGAAGCAAAGTTGTTGTTATGGCTTGGAGCTATGACACGAGCAAGCCAAAGGTTCAGGGGAGAGGAGGCGGAACAATAAAATATCACCTCTATCCTTGAGTTAGGAAGCAATTCAATGACAGTCTGCCAACAACTTTCATTTAGCACCGCTTGTTGGGAGGAATACAAGACTAGCCCTGAACTTAAGGTTCCTATGATCAATTTATGGTCCCCATACAACCCCACACAGTAAACCCCTAAAAGGGCCAGATGGTCAGCTCAAGGCCAAGTCATAAAATGTGCCAAGGGTCATAGGTTCCAAGTTAGAAAGAGCTGCCTCAAAGTGACCTAGTCCATTCCCTTCATTTTATTTTGTTTTCTGTTTTTTGCTAGGCAATGGGGTTAAGTGACTTGCCTAGGGTCACACAGCTAGTAAGTGTCAAGTGTCTGAGGCCAGATTTGAACTCAGGTCCTCCTGACTCCAGGGCTGGTGCTCTATCTGCTGCGCCACCTAGCTGCCCTCCCCCCTTCATTTTATAGATGAGGAAACTGAGGTCCAAAGAGGTAAAGTCTTGCCCAAAGTCATACTGGTTATAAGAGAATGAGGTAGGCATTGAATCTAGGTCCCAGATTTCATTACAGCCTTCCACTGTACCATGGTGCTCCTTGAGTTTGTGGTGTTTGTCTTTGATATAATTCAACAAGGAGTTGTGCTAGGTGCTGGGAGCAGGGCGGGAGGGGAGAGGAGGGGCGGGAAGGCAGTAAGCAAAGTAGTCCCTGGCCTCAAGGAGCTTATTTTACATTATTGTCCCTTTATCATCCTGACCTCAGAATACACACACATACACACACATACACACAGACACACACAGACACACACACACATATACACACACAAATACACACAATACACACACACACACACACACACACACACACAGCTAGTGTTTATACCTTAACACCTTAAGCATGTGGTATGTCACTACAGACCTTTCCTTCCCCCTTCAAACCTCACATAAATAAATGAATGAGTGGATGAATCCATCCCCCCCCCCCCCCCCCCCCCCCCCGGATTACTGGGTACAAAGAGACTGTCAGAGAGACAGGGTATATTGTAAAGACCTCTGGCTTTAGAATCAATAAAGCCAACTTTCAGTTCTTTTGTTGTTGCTTCTGTTCAGTTGTGTCCAGCTTTCCGTGACCTCTCTTTGGTTTTTCTTGGCAGAGAGGGTGGAGCAGTTTCCCATCTCCTTCTCCAGCTCATTTTACAAATGAGGAAACTGAGGAAAACAGGTTTAAGTGACTTGCTCAAGGTCACGCAGCTAATAAGTGTGTGAGGTCAGATTTGAACTCAGGTCCTCCTGACTCCAGGCCTAGCCCTTTATCCATTGCACCACCTTGCTGCTTATTTCAGTCCTATCTCTGGTCTTTAAGGAGCCTCCTGGTCTTGGGTGAGTCTCAGTGAATATCAGTTTTATCCTCTGAAAAATAAGGGGAATGTTTGTACTACCTATAGCATGATGTCATGAAAGTAATATTCAAGTTATAGCAGTAAGATCTGTGTTCAAATCTTGTCTCTGACACTTTCTAGCTGTGTCATCTATTTCATGGAGTTATTTCGGTAAGTTATTATCTATTTTATGGAGTTATTGAGAAATAACTTTTGTCAACCTTAAACTGGTATTTAAATGTGAATTATTATATTATTATTATTATAGGCTCTAAAGCCTATGCACTATTTTGACTTATTGGAGGCCTTTTTAGGAAAGGGTTCTTGGTCCTTTAAACTGATGTTAGTAAGTTTGTTAATAAAACATTATTTCATCTCTAGGTAGGGGGGACCTCAAAGGATTCTGTTCCTTAAAATAGGCAGTATGGTACAGTGGAAAGACGACTGGATTTAGAATAAGAGAACCTTGGTTTGAATCTTAATTTTGCTGTTTATTAGCTGTATGACCTTGAGCAAGATACAGCTTCTTTGGAACTCAGTTTCCCCATCTGTTCTTAACCTTTTTTATGTGTCCCAGACCCCTTTGGCTGTTGGGTAAAGCCTATGGGCTCTTCTCAGAATCATGTTTCTAAATAAATAAAATGCATTCTTAATCTTTTGTGTGTTTTGTGGACCACTTTGGCAGTCTAATAAATCCTATGGCCCCTTCTCAGAATTGCCTTTAAATATATAAAATAAAATAGGATTATAAAGGAATTCAGAGATATAATTCCCCGCCCCCCCATTCTATCCATGGATACCTGGAAGGTCTATGGAACCCAGGTCAACAACCCCTGTGTTAAAGGGATGTAGGCGCTTCAGCGAAGACCCACCTAGCTAAGCTCAGAAAACCTCAATACCAGGAGGCTGGTCACCAGTGGATAAAAGGTTTTAGTCATACTAGTTCATGAAACAGTTTAGTGTTAACAACTCCATGCTAAGCCATGGAGAAGCTATCATCCACATTGGTAGAGATGAGTGGTGGGTGGGGAGAAATGTCATGGATGAAACCACAGATCCTTGAATATTAAACTAAAGATTTTGTGGTGCAGTTGGACCAGCCAACTTAAAAATGCAGGAATGGAGAGGTGGGGGTAGAGATGAAGTTTGAGGAGTCATTCACAACTAAAGTCTTGAGTGTATGTTTCCTGTTGTTTATTGATGTTTGTTTTTTGCAGGGGGAGGTGGAGTAGTCTGGTGGGGATGCTTGATGGAGGCAAGAGACTTAGTGGGCTGCATAGTGGATTGGAGATTAGGGGCTGTAAATACTGATCCTGGTAACCCCAGAATCCATTACACTAACTTTGTAAACCTCGAATAGAACTTTATCCAAATAGAATAGTAAGCAATGTTGTGGGGCTCTGGTGAGCAGACTAATGCCATTATGAAGCACTTTATAATGTGGTTACTAAGTAATGATGGGGAATCCTGGAGCAGAAAGTGATTGGTTTTGCAGCACGTCAGGTCCAGGGATAAACTGACCTTGAGAGGGGATGCACAGATAATAAATCGTCGTTACGCATGTGAATGTCCTTCGGGGAAGAAAGTTTAACTCCTTAGTTCATAAGCTTATGGATTCAGGTAATCATATTATTGTTCTATATGGAGATCATAGCTAAATGACCACAGTATAATAGAAAGAGCTTTGGATTTGGATTCAGAAAACCTGGCTATAAATCCCCGCTTCTGCCCTTCTTGGCTTCATGACCCTGTGCAAGCCACTTAATTGAACCTCAGTTTCCTTAGCTGCAAAATGAGGATTTATAAGGAGAGCATTTTCTAAACCCTAAACTCATTTTTATGTGCTTTGAGGCAGTGTGGTATAATGGATAGAGTGTTGGGTTAGACACTTACTAGCTGTGTGACCTTGGGTAAGTTACTTAACCTCTGTGTGCCTCAGATAACTCCCTAGGACTTATTTACTAAGTTCTAGACCAGTTACAAACATCAGTGGAGAGAATTCCCACACTGAGAGTCCCTGATTTCTTTATTTCTCATATCTGTTAGACTCATGTGATTATTCTTTTTATTGTAATCATAATCATAATAATTATTGTTATTTCAGGACCCATTTGATGCTGCTGGCTATTACCACCTTGCACTTGCAGCTGCTATGGATTTAGGTAACAAGAGGGCTCAGCTGAAAATTTATACCAGGTTGGCTACAATCTACCATAACTTTCTTGTGGACCGGGAGAAATCTCTCTTTTTCTACCAGAAAGCAAGGACCTTTGCCACAGAGCTGAATGTTCGGAGAATCAACCTGGCCCCTAACCGCTATTACAGGGGTGCAGCCTGGATTGTGTCCAAAAGCCATGCATAAAATCATCTCCCTATATTATGTGCTATTAAAAAAAAACCCAACACAACAAATCCACATGTATAATAGACATACATTTGTTAATATATGAGAAATTCAGTGTCACAAATTGATGTCTCTCTGGTAACCATAACTTAAAGGATTATTTTTTTTTTGCATTAAAGCATATTCTTTGAGTATTTAAATGCCTCAATGTCCTACCACTTTTTTCAAATAAACTCAGTAAGAGAATGTAAAGGCATCTGAAAGGAAATAAATAATTATTTATCTGATGATGTCTTGAGGTAGCTAAGAATTTGTTTTCTGATAAGCATTTGCTGCATGTCAATGTTATTTGATTTAAACTTTTTAAAACTATACTCCATTTCTCATCTAATACCCAGTGTTTCCTCACCCATGAATTGCCTTTAGGAATGACACGGTCTGTACTGAAATCATTTAGGTGCTGAGGAAAGACAAGTTACAATGGATGATAATACAGGCTGGTTTGTTGTGGGAAAAACTTTTCTTACATTAGAGCTGTCCAAAAGTAGAATGGTCTGACTTTGGAGGGGTGGTTTGGTACCCCTCCCCCACCATTGGAGAGCTTTAATTATGAGCTACGTGGTATCTTGACAGATCTAGTATAGTGGGGCCTGCTTTAGGGGTGAAGTGTGAGTTAGCCTAGCTGGTCACTGAGCTCACTTAAAATTCTATGATTCTACGATTCAAGATCCGAATAAGGTTTGGTATCTCCATCTCTTCTCCCACTTTCTTATGCTCAGGTTCCAAATAGCTCTCTGAGCCTCTGTCAAGCATGGAGTCCCGTCCTGGAGTATGGATGTCAAGCACTCTGACCATGTTCTCACCATGAGTCATGTGTCTCAATCAATCAACAAGCATTTATAAAGTGCTTACACTTTACATGTGCCAAGCACTGGGGGTACAAAGAAGGACAAAAACATGGTCCCTGCCTTCAAGGACCTTACATGCTAATGGGGGAGGTGGCATGTAAATAACCAAGTACATATAAAATTAGTACAGAATGGATGGAAAGTAGTTTAAGGGAAGGCACTAGCAGCAAGGAAAGGCACTAGGAAAGGTTTCTAGCAGAGGGTGAGATTTGAACTGAGTCTTGAAGAAAACAAAAGGAAACAAAAGGCAGAGGTGTGGCAGCATTCCAGGTATGGGAGACAGACAGACAGACAGGCAGACAACTGGTTCAAAGACTTGGAGACAAGTGATAGAATGTCATGTGGGAGGGACTGTAAGTATGTCAATGTAACTAGACTGTAGAGTAAATGGAAAGGAGTAACTTGGAGAAGACTGGAAAGGTAGGAATGGGCCAACTTATGAAGAGTTTCAAATGCCAGAGGAGTTGACATTTGGCCCCGGAGGGCAGGGGAGGTGACATGGGTAGGTTTCAGATCTACACCTTAGAAAAGTCACTTTGGCAGCTGAGTGGAGAATGAATTAGATTGGGGAGAGACGACACAGGGGTACTGTTTAGAAGGCAATAATTCCTTAGCTTGGGAGAGAAATGATAAGGGCCTGAACTAGAGTTCTAGCTGTATGAGTAGAGAGAAGGGGACGTGTATGAGAGATGTTAAGAGATAGAAACAATGAGATTTTCCATCAGATTGGATTTTCAGAGTGAGGGAGAGGGAGGACACCAACCTTTCAAGCCTGGCTGACTGGGAGGATGGTGGTGGCCTTAAAAGCAACAGGAAAGCTGGGAGGCGGAAGAGTTCGGGGGAAGGGAGACAGTGAGTTCTGTTTTGCACATGTTGAATTTGTGATATCTATGGGATATCCAGTTTGAGATGTCCAAGAGGAGATGGGAGATGGCTAGAGCTCAGCAAAGAGACTAAGTCTGAGAATCATTTGAATGGAGATGATAATTGAACTAATTTCTGGGAGCTGGTGAGATCACCAATTGAGATAGTATAAAGTGCAAAGAGAAGGGCGCTCAGGAGAAAGCCTTGGGAGGCATGGAAGGTTAGTGGGAGAAACTGTAGGTAAATAATCAACAAAGGAGACCAAGAAGGATGGGTTGGACTTAGAGTAGGAGATCCAGGAAAAAGTAGCATCACACAAACCTAGAAGAGAGAGTGCCCAGGAGGAAAAAGGTGATCAAGGATGTCTAATGCTGCAGAGAGTACAACTTATTTCCATTTTTATAACTAAGAAAGAAGGGAATCAAGCATTTATTAAGCACCTACTATTTGCTACACCCTTTACAACTATTTCATTTGATCCTCACAACTCTAGGAAGTAGCTGCTATTATTATCCTCATTTTACAGTTGAGGAAACTGAGGCAGATAGAAATTAAGTGACCTACCAAGGACCAAGCAGCTAATAAATGTCTGAGGCTGGATTTGAACTTAACGTATTCCTGACTCCAGGCCCAAAGCTTTATCCACGGTGCCACTAGCTGCCTCTCTCCTAAGGAAACTAAGACTCAAAAAGATTAAATGAAGTTTCTAGTCACAAAGCTAGCATTCATCAGCAAATGACAATAATCCGTCACGAGAATAGTGTTATGGAATCTGGCTTGTGATGAAACTCCAAATATTTAGGAAAATATTTTCTTTAGTGGTGCTGAAACAGTCAGGTCAATTTGTGGTACAAAGAGTGTTGGGATGTGGAATCGGGAGACCAGGGTTAAAATCTCAGCTCTGTATATGGCACCAGCTGTGTGATCATAGGTAAGTCATTTAACATTTCTTGGCCTCAGTTTCTTCATCTGTAAAATAGGGATATTAACACATGCTATTTTCTTTTTTAAAAATTAATTAATTAATTGTTTTTTGGTTTCCAGCATTCATTTTCATAAGATTTTCAGTTCTAAATTTCCCGCTTTCCCAAGACAGCACGCAATCTGATATAGACTATACAAGTCCAATCATATTAAACCATATACTCCCTTTTTACTGTCATTGTGTGGAAAGTGCTTTGTAAACTTCAAAGTGCTATGGAAATCTGAGTCATTGTTGTTACTGTTATTTATTATTATACTTTCCGGTCCCTTCTCCTGACCCCATCACCACTCATGCCTTACCAAAACCCAGCCCTGGAATTATTCCCACCATACGCCATTTCCACTCCCTACATGCTTTTGAATGAAGCTGAAGAAAGGCTTCCCACCTACTACCTGGCAGAACCTTGAATTGTTATCTGATCTCACATGGGCCCTTCTCCACCGCTCCCCGGCAGCCTTTTGAGCCTGGAAGATACCTTCTCACTGTGGAAGATCCCTCTGCCCCTACGACCCCTTCCTCTGATTCCGTCATTCCTCCTGGGACCTCCATTTCCAGGAAGGACCCAGGCCAGTCACATTCACTCCTTCCTTCCTCTTCAGTTTCTGCTTCTGACTCTCCAAATCCTTCCCCCCACCCCCCAACACTTCTCAGGGTCCTTTCATGAACGGTCTTCCCCTGTTGGGATGTAACCTACTGAGAACAGGGGCTATCTTTTTGCTTCTATCTGCATTCCCAAACCTCAGCTCAGTTACCAACACATGGTAAATTTTTAATTCTTGGTGATGTGACTTAAGTCTTCCTTAATAGTTTTCTATTATACTTCTTTCTCCATAGGCGTTATTCCACTTTCTTTTTTCTCCTCAAGTCTCCCAAGACATCCTTTCTCCAAGCCTCTCAGCACAAGGCCTTTGTGTTGTATCTTACTGAGAAAATAGGGGCTGTTCTCCCTGAGCTCCCTCTTCTCATTAATTCTCTGCCTTAAAACCTCTTAATCTCATCCTTTATCTCTCTTTTTCTGATCTTTAATCATTACTTAACAGTTCTGTCACTTTGGACAACTCCTAAATTTCTCAGAGCCTTGGTTTTCCCATCTGTAAAATGGAGTTAATTATATAATTGCCTGCCTGATAGGACCCTTGCAGGATCAAAATGAAATGATAGATGTGAAAGTGCTTTGTAAAGCACTGATAATAATAATTTGTTGTTATTTAGTTGTTTCATTCTTTTTGTGACCCCATTTGGGATTTTCTTGGCAAAGATACTGGAGTGGTTTGCCATTTCTTTCTCCAGCTCATTTTGCAGAGGAGGAAACTGAGGCAAAGAGAGTTAAGTGACTTGCCCAGGGTCACACAGCTAGTAGGTGTCTGGGACTAGATTTGAACTCACAAAGATAAGTCTTCCTGACCCCAGGGGCCTATCCACTTTACCACCTCGAAGCCCTGGTAAAAATAGCTAGCATTTTACAGTACTTTAAGGTTTGAAAAGCACTTTACAGATATTATCTTGTTTGATTTGCACAACAACTTTGCAGAGTAGGTGCTATTAGTATCCCCATTTTTCAGTTGAGGAAACAGGTAGAGTGACCTGCCCAGGGTCAAACAGCTAGTAAGTGTCTGAGCCTGGATTTGAGCTCAGTTCTTCCTGACTCCAGACCCTTTACTATGTTCACTACACAACAGTGTATGTAGCCTATATACATTGCTGTCTGTATCACTTACAATAAAATTAAATACTATAGGAATTAGCAATTGTTAACCATTTCCAAAAGACTCATTTTGTGCCCTTCAGTAACTCAGGCCAAGTGGCTCTCTGTCCACTGGAATTCTGATTCAGCCATAGCCCAAAGAGTGATCAGTGATGAGTCTCTAAATAAACAGATGTTTGGCTTGAAAGAAGCCATATTACCAAGTCATTCTCATGGCCCTTCTGTAGCTAAAAGGTGATCAATTAATTTCTACCAAATCACAGTGTACCATTTCAGATACAGGCTTAACGATGGTGGTTTCAATTTCTTCTTAGGACCTCTAACCCTTTCTAATCTTTAATTTCCTCATCTGTAAAGTGAGATATTTGGACTAGAAGTAGCAGCATTTACAGTCAGAAGTCCTGGGCTCACATCCTGACCCTTAGACTTAGACAAATTACTTAACTTCTTTATGACTCAGTTTCCCCATCTGTAAAATTGTTGAGGGGAGGGGAGAGAGGTACGATTTATACAACCTCAGACACAGAACTAGAAGACCTTAAGCAAGTCATTTACCTTTCTGGGCTTCAGTGTCCTCATCTGGAAAATGAGGGGGTTGGGCTACCTGGCCTGCAAGGTCCCTTCCAGCTCTAAATCCATGATTCCAGGAACTTCTGAGATCCTACCCTGGGGTTTCTGAGCCCCGGAAATCCACATTCTAAGGTTCCTTCCAGCTCCAACATGCTTTGATTTCAAACT